ATGAATTTCTGTTGTGTGGTTTCAGAGGAGTTGTGATTACAAACTGTTGCAGTAGTATATTAAGGCCAAAATTCTAAGTTCAAAGGGGCATAACTCATAGAAAAAAAATTGAATCATAATTTCCTGTCGATATGCACATCTATATAGTATGTCCTTATTATCTACAAAGTTTCATGAAATTCTGTTGTGTGGTTTCAGAGGAGATGCGATGACAAGAACAGGACTGATAAAACTGTAGTATATTGAGGCCAATAAGTTCAAAGGAGCATAACTCCTAGAAAAAAAATTGAATCATAATTTCCTGTCGATATGCACATCTACATAGTAGGTCCTTATTATCTACAAAGTTTCATGGAATTCTGTTGTGTGGTTTCAGAGGAGTTGCGATGAAAAGAAGAGGACTGACAGACGGACAGACAGACAGATGGACGAACAGACAGACGGACGGGTCAAAAATATCATACCCGACGCAATAAGTTGCATGGGGTATAATAAGCATCTTGTATAAGTTTTATAATATTTAGTTGAGGCAAAGTTAAGTTAGAGAACAGAAACGAAAATTTCAATAATTTGTCCTTTTGTAAAGGGGGCATAACTCAAGAACAGTAAAAGTGATGCTACCCATTTTCCTACTTGATCTGAGTTTTGTGGTAATAAGCATTTTTTCAGCAATTTTTCCATTTGTAAAGGGGCATAACTATAGAAAGATAAAAGTGACACCACCCAAATTCAAACTTGGTCTGTGTATTGTGGTAATTAGCATTGTGTACAAATTTCTTGACATTTGGTATAGTAAGAGAATGGAAACTAATTTCCCAAAGTCCATCTCATGGCAAAATGTGCCATGTTGAAATTCATTTTCACATTTTTAAATCCAGAAAAAAAAATCCCACAAAGAAATTATTCATTTTCAAATAAACAGCTATTTAAGCACATTCAAAATTAATAAAGACCAATATTTTTATTCTTCATTGCCAGGATCACTAAGGTGTGAATCAAGGATTTAGAAAAAGAGGCCCTGGCAAGATAATTTTAGGAGTAGGGATTTTAAATAGTTAAAACAACCATATATGTAGCTAACTCCATACAGCAGACCATCCCCCTACTTGTATTTAGCTCCTTAAATTGGCCTCTGTACATCATTCATTTACATAAATTCAGGATAAAAAGATGTTATCTACATTTGATAGCTTCATTAACTGTGGATTCATTATTATTTATTGGATACTAATTTTCCAAGTCTAATAAATTACAAATTTTGTATTATAATATATGCAGACTTTGGCAAAACCACGAAATAAAATATCCACAAAAATGCAAGTTTTCCTTAAAATCCACAAAAAATTGGTATCAATGAAAATAAATAAATCCACAGTATATTGGCATTAGTGTAGATCTGTATAGCTAATTATTTTTGTAAATATTGTTATTACAATTTCAATTTACCTGCAAACTTTCTGGTTGATATTATAGTAGAAAAGTTAAAATTAGTACAAAATCATGGCACATTTTGTTTAAATTTTAGTAATAAGTAATAAAGGTTATATTTAGTTTATCAAAGAGTTAACTAAACCTTTAATTCATTCATAAACTTGACTTTTTAAAGGTCTATCAGACTTAATTGACTTTGTGATTGGGCCGAGTTGCCTTCAATAAAAAAAAAAACTCTTAAAAATTACCATTTATTACAATAATACACAGGAAATATCTTTAGTAGTGTAAATCTTTAGAATATAGAAGGAATGCACAAAGCATGCACTCCTTAGTTTTTTGTTTGTTGTTGAAATTTTTATTTGATTGAACATTTTATGGAAAATATGGAGAAGATACCTAATAAAACAATTGGGGAGAAGAAACCTAATGGGCAAAATAATGGAGAGCAGATGCCTAACGGGCAAACAACTTGAGAGAAGATTCCCAAATGGGCATACAAATAAAGAGAAGATGTCTAATGGGCAAACTAATGGAGAGAAGATGCCTAATGGGCAAACAAATGGAGAGAAGATGCCTAATGGGCAAACAATAAGAGAAAGCCTATTGCCAAAAAAATGACAAGATAAACATCTATCCATAAAACACAACATGAAAATAAAAACAAAAATGGAAACATTTCAGAAATATTTGAAGACATTCTTTTATTCCTTCAAGAAGAATCACAAAAGAATTTCAAATACAATCTTCTCCAAGTATCAAACTCACAAAATCTCAAAACATAATCATAAAAACAAAATTTTGAGTGAGAAAGTATTTTTTATTAAAAAAATAACATAGCACTATCAAATTAACAAATCTACATTAAATTTCACTTTACTAGTCAGATTTCAATGTTTTCATATCACTTTAATTAACTTGTTAGTTGTAGACAGAAGCATATCAAGATCAAATTCAACATCTTTGCATGTTTGCAGCATCATTACACAGCACGATCAAAGTTACACTGAGCAACCATCTGTGATTTGGCAAACAGCTCCATCTGTTGACCTGCGTACCCTGGGTTTGTGTCAGGTTCTGTAGGTTGTACTGTAACCTGGTTTGGTCTCAGCGTGTTGAGCATGCTCACTACAAGAACTTGTGACTGGTACCACTTTCTAAGACGATACTGACGATAGGTGTTCTTTAGACCAATGGCTACCGACTTCCTGTTTAACAGATGTAAGGCTCTGGATTTGTTACCTCTCTGAACTTGATGTACAGCTCTTTCTTTGACTCTCTCAATATAGCGGTCTGAAAATAAGAAAAAATTTACAAAATATGTCCGAATTGTTTACTCATTGTATAAAAAAAATTTAAATCTTGCAAAACTTATCAAAAATAATTCTACTTTAAATATCTTTTTTCTTCTGAAAAATTATAAAAATCTTTCAAAAAGTTTATCATTTCATCATTCACTTGTTTTCAATGGTTTTTATTTTCTCAAATATCATTATTAATAGATCTGCTTTTTAGAATCTACACTGATCTTATTCAGGACAGTGTTTAGTTCATACAAAATATTTTTAGATAAGTCAAGAAAAGAAAAGAGCAATCTTTCTTATATTCTTATTCCATCTTGGAACTAGCAAGACTTGTTTCAAATAAGAACAGATTGATTTTTTTTTAATTTAAATTAAAAAAAGACACTATGAAAAATTTAAATTGATAAAGGGAGGTCTGAAAGTTGAGCATTAAGGCTACAGAACTTACCTAGTACAATTATTTGCTGTACAGCTCTGTCATGGATCAGTAAATGTTTCCTCAGTAGTACTGTATCATCCATAACTATGCTGTCATTAACTGGTGCAGATTCAGCCATTTTTTTTTTACTAACTTGTGTGGGTGCAGCAAATGTATGAGGTTTGATGATATTTCAAACTGTTGTGTTTATTAATTATATCTTTTTTGAGTCTGTTTTCACAGTATACATTTGAGAAACTTTGAGATCAAAAGATAAATTCCTCTACTCAAAAAGACTTGCGAGACTATTTGGGATTAATTGTGGATTATAAAAAGATCAAAGTTAACAAGTAAATAAAGACATTATAATTGATAATTAAACAAACTTTTTGGGGATATATCAGTAGTAATTGGCTTGTATTGTCTTTCGATCATATATAATTGTAAATTGATAATTAGATAAATGCCTTTGATGATTATGAAAACAATTGTTTAATCAAAATTAAATTGGCTTCTTGTTTTAACATTTGCTAATGAAAACAATATTATTATTTGCTGCAGACTAATAAAAAAGACAAGACTTTTGGTTACATATAACTTCTAACATAAAACCATAATAAAAAAAACATCTAAATTTTTTTTTCCTTAAAATACAAGGAAAAACATGCATAAACTTTTTAAAATTCTGTAAATTCAGAAAATAAAAGCCATTATCTATTTAGATATACTTTTTTTATGACCTGCTCTTTAGCAAATTTTGTATGTTTGACTGTTTTTTTTTAATTTTAAATGTAAACAATAAATTTTTTGACATAACAATTCTTATGAGTTTTTAAAAAAACAAACCATAAATATGATTCACAATACATATTTAAAAATAAATCTCCCTTTCTTTATTTTACTACTGTTCTCTATTGTCTATCCATGTATATACTATGTAATATATGTAGTTTATTTTTCCATAGCATGTTTTTGCTTTTGCAATAAATATTCATTCATTCATTCGATTTACACTTAATTTAAGGTGAAACATATCATTTTTTCCATTTAAATAATAAGAAATTATGACCTTATGCAGTAAGTCAATTTTTATTTCATAATCAATTTAGGCAGGTTTATTTTTATTGACAATTGTTTATCTGACAGACATGTATACCTTACAATCATTCAATACACCAAATATAGAGGCAATTGCTTGTAGTATCTGAGAAAGGGATCAAATCATGAATACTTAAAGCTGACCAATGAACCATATAAATGAAGTTAAGGTCAGATGAACATTGCCAGAGGGACATGTACAATAATTCATGCACCAAACGTAGTCGACCTATTGCCTATAGCATCTGAGAAAGGGACCTAATCATGAAAACTAAACATTGATCACTGATCTATTTAATAAAAAAAACTATAAGTTATAAACAGCTGCTGAAAATTTCAAAGCATAAGGCATCTGTATACAAGATTTTTAAGTATTCAGGTCATCTACCTTTCTGAAATATAAAGCTTTCCGTCGTTGCCACCAGAATAGCATCCCTTTGTAATGCAGTCTGAATAATTACATGTGAGACAGTAATAGCAATAACAATTAATTCAATTATAATGTTTATGATCATATCATTTTAAGAACTATTAAAAAGGCTTATTTCCATAACAAAAGAATGGTAAAATAATAATAACATGAAAACTAATCTTCCATTCTTAAAACTACTTCAGAAGGGAAATTCTCATAAGAGTTTTGAAAAGTTGACAGTCATAATGGTTCTGTCCTTCATAGGCATGAGAGGCACCTGCTTTTTGTTCAATATGATCTTAATGTCAAATACATAAAGTGGTGAATAGGACAATACCTGTAAAATTTCAGTGCTACTTCTGGTTGATCTGTATAAAAATGGTGGGTCGCTATACAAGCTATGGCTTCCACATGCATACTATCATACATTAAAACATCTTTATAATATTTTACTGCATTTTCCATCTCATTTAAACCCTGAAAAAAGCAAAAAGGTTGATAAATGCCAGTCATTATTAAAAAGTAAAAGGGGTTCATGTAAATGAGACAGCAACCCAACAAAATACTGAAGACAAACACGGAACATCTTAAGGTAACCATAACAATGAGACTTTAGGAGCTAAAACTATAAACATAACTAATTTTGTAGTGCTAATTATAACCAAGATCCTTCTGGTATAAACTGGAATCCGCTTGTATTACCCTACACTCATTAAACAGATACGGCCCAATCTTGTAGGGCAAAATTTTGCCCTGGATATTTTAACAAGATTTGACGGTACTTTGTTACATAGCAGTGTACGATATCCGAAAAATTAAACAAACAAAACAATTTGTTTCTTGTCGCATAAAGCATAAAATTAATGCGTAAATAAATTCCTATTATAAATTTAAATAATCTAATACATTACAAAAAGAAAATAGATATTGAAAAAGGTATCAATTTGACATCAAATAAAATTCCACTAAACTCCATGAATGATTTTTGCACATCAACATCATGGTTAAACGTGACGTCATACAAAATGAAAACTTTCGAACTGAAGGCTATTACGATATTTCAAGTGTGGATTTGACAGTAAAATTTAGCGAATGAAAAAATTGTTTCATAAAATTGCTTGTTTGAAAAAAAAGAATATTCTTTCAATCTTTATTAGTTGATTTGCGATAACATTTCTTGGATTGTAGCAGAAAATAATATTTTCATGTTTACAATGGAAAGTGCGATAAAGTACACGTAATTTGACTGGATGATGGAAAAATGTCTCTTGACTAATCAGATTCTACAATAGATTGGATCTCACCAGCTGTCTATGAACAAAGTGTAGTAGTCAGCCGAGAACCAGCTTACTTCTGGTATTAATGATCATAATCTGTAATCACAAGTAATTTGTTTCAGTACGCCTGTTCAAAAATGAAGTTTTACATTTCCAGTAGTTTCCAATGATTACAAAATGAGATTCCTGTGTACATGTTTAAAAAACCGAATGTTTGATAGTATGTTTCTAAACTGACTGTATTTGCATATTGTGGATTCATTTATTTTCAGGGATACCAATTTTTGTGGGATGAGGAAAACTTGCATTTTCGTGAATTCATGGTTTTGCCAATGTCTGCAACCAACCCTTTGGAAAATTTGTAATTTAATGAGCATCTTAACTTGTGGTTCACATGTACAAACTAAATCCAAGAACAATAAAGAATTCAAAGTATATTTATGACCTATTGATGACAGGAATAAGATCAATTTTGCTCTATGTTGAAGGCCTTACTGCGATTCTGATATGAAAACAGAAATAAAAGTATTTTTCATTTGCTTTGAGTTTTATCAAGTGCATGAACAAATTTTGTGTCACAAATCAATATGCCTTATCCATTCATTTCAATTTCAATTTCACTACCTGTATTATTAAGCTGAAAGCTCTGGCTGTCTTGTTTGAAAGTTATATACCCTGTTAAGACTTTTTCAGAGTGTTTCAGAAAAATTTACATGTTCAAAGTGCATTTTAAAGGAACATAACTAGCATTAAATTCTTACTTCTTAAATTCTAGCTATTTCTGTCAAAAAAGTTGTTTCCCATTGAAACTTTTCTAATTCCTGTTTATAAACTTCTACAGCTGTGAGTTGTTGATCTAGTCTGACATACACTTTACATAGATACAAATAGGGCTCTTACCTCATAAATTCTAGCTATTCCTGTCAATAGTGTTGTCTCCCCTTGAAATTTTTCTAATCCTTGTTTATAAACTTCTACAGCTGTAAGAGGTTGATCGAGCCTGAGATACACTTTACATAGATACAAATAGGGATCTACCATGTCTTGTTGTTTTAATGCTGATTTTAATTGCTGTTCTGAGTCTCTAAACATTCCTAATCTGAAACAAAGCATTTTTTTTACCTAAAAGTGGGATCAAATTCATAATTTGGCATTAAAATTAAAACTTTGACCTAACAATGAACCTGTGTAATGCGTTTCAAGTTGATGGAACCACAACTTCATGAGAACTACCTTAACTAAAAACTTAAACCTGAGAATTTACTAATTTTTACACAGTCACATGACTATGTTCAGTGATTATCATAGAATCTTGGTCAAAATGTAATTTGGTTTATAATTTTTATAGTGCACATCAATAATGAACATGTGTACTAAGTTTCAGGTTGATGTAACCACAACTCCATGGTAAACCACCTTATCAAAAAACTTTAATCTTAAAATGCACTAGTTTCACAATATCACATTTCTATGTTCAGTGAACCATGAAAACAGGGTCAACCATACTTTGGTATACAATTTAAAAGGATCACATAATAATTGACATGTGTACAAAGTTTCAAATTGATGTGACCACATCTTCATGGTAAAATACCTTAACCTTAATAAGCGGTGTGTTCTGAAAACCTTAAATGTTTCTTAGTTCAATGCGGTATTTCTCTACAAAATACTCAATAAACTTAAATATCCTATCCACATGCACATCTGCATATTACCAGTGAAAGGCTCTAACAATATACTAACTTCCATGTAAATGTGATTTATAAACAATGAAGGAGGAGTTGTGATGAGAAGGTAGGTACTAGACAGGGCCAACATTTTCTAAGCTTTTGAGAAAGCTCAATGGACTGGAACAGGATACCCAGATGCACATCTGTATTTCAGAATTTAACAATAACACAGGATAAAACATGTAGGAGGAGTTGCAATGACAAGGCCGGTACTGTACAGGGCCAAAAGTTCTATGTTGGAAGGGGAACAACTCTAAATTGCCAAGAACTTTGCAAGAAAAAATTAAATGATAAATATAGTTTCGTGAAAATAAGTTGGTTTACAGAATCTTCGTTCACAAGCTTCTTCAGTCTTTGAGTTTTAATAAAAGTTTTACAAAAACTGCCTATAAACTGAATGATTTATACAAAAGAAAATCCTATACCTGTAGTAACATTTGGCTAGCTGTACTTTCCACCACCAGTCTTTAAACTGACATGCTTCAGTAGCTAATGCTGCCAACTCTAGTGCCTGTAAATAAAGGTTTTTAAGAAAAAATGAGCATATATAACCTATAATAAGTCACAAGTCTAAAATACTTCTTCAGCTATTGCTGCAAACTCTAGTGCCTGTAAATAAAAGAGGGGAACTGTAAACCAACTTATTTTCACAGATAAATAATTTCATGTTTTGGCCCTTTCCAGCCCACTGTGCAGTGATTTAATTTCGCAATTTTCAAATTTACTTGATGTAGTTAAATAAGGAAAGATACAAGTTTGAAATATTACAGACGATTTATATTCGCGTTATTTTCAAACTTGTGAAAATCGCAAAAAATAAATCACTCGCAAACATTAGTTGGTTTACAGTATATGTGAGGCATACTTGCCAACCTCTGACAATGACAAATCATGTCATGACATGACATGACATGTCAAAAAGCGAGTGAAAACGTGTGACATTGATGCAGACTTTTTAATATGAACATTATACATATTTTTTAATATAAAAAACAATATTCTACTGTAAACTTTTATTGCATTCAACAGTGGCCTGTTTTGCTGCATTCAGAACAACACAACTAGGCACATATCCAAAACAACTGCCAGTTTGCTTACATTTACATGATATTAAACAAGGCACACACTATATTATTGTTGAGTTCTGATCTGAATTCAGTGTAAATTTCTTTATTCGTAATTGAAAATGCTCTCTCACATTCAGAATTGCTATTTGGCAAATCTAAAATAGCTTTAACGTTTAAACAGCAAGCTTTGAAAAAATGTCATAACGTTTTTTGCCATTAAAAATGTCATCCATGTATGCCATTGCTCCCCACAAATTATATATGTTGGTAATGTCTGGTCAAAACTGGGTACTTCATCAGAAGACAGCTGGTAGTTTGAGAACTGATCCAACAGTTCTGTGATATTTCCATCCCTATGTCCTGTGGAAATCTGTTGGCTAGATTTGAAACTGAAAAAGAAAAATATTTCATAATTTTTCAAAAAGCTACATCCTCTCACACTTGTTGTTATGATTGCAAATGATTGATATCATTTGCAGATATAAATATGAGAGTAACATAGGGTGCACAATGCAGTGTTGGCCCTTGATCTCTTTCTTTGATCCATAATATTAAACTCGGACTCCCCAACTTTTTGGTACGTACACACGTATCGTTTTCGACAATGGTACAGTTCCAAAAAGCGACTTCTTTCTTCCGGACACTTCCCAAAAGTGAATTTGAGAAAAAGAAAGTAACAAAATCTTAAAAACTACTCACAAACTTACCTGATGGGCTTTTGTTGTTGTTCGTCCATGTCGAAATAAACAATGGCGAGCAAACAATTATTTTCGAAATTTTCTGTATTTATCGTCTACTAATGGAAAAACATGTGAATCGCGATATCACTTACGACCAAAAAATCCAAACAACGAAAAAGCGTGTAATTGCGTGTAAAGTGGCGAAAAGCGTGTACACGCCATGTGACAAAATCCTCTCGTGTAAACCGTTGAATAAGCGTGTATTACACGCGAATATCATGTGAGTTGGCAACTATGATGTGAGGATGAGCACGTATTGATTAACTGACTGTTGGTGGCTAAAGTTGATTAATTGACTGTTGGTGGTTTAAGCTGATTAATTGACTGTTGGTGGTTAAAGCCTCTTTCAGCACTCATGGCTATATTGTGTTGACCAGTTTATATTGATTGAGGAAGCAGCAGTGCCTGGAAGGAACCACCAACTTTAGATGGGGTAACTGGCAATCCTAGTCAAATAAGGTTGGAATCAAACATGCCTGCTATGTGCAAGGATTGGAACTCACAACCTTAGGGTTAGACCACTCAGTTTGTGAGGCCCCAGGCGAGAATGTAAATAAAAGAATAACATGTCAAGGTTTAAAGGGTGGACAAAAAGAGATGTCAGATACCTGAAACCATCAACAAAGTGTACCAAGCTAAGGGGTTGAAGAATATCATGCATTACTGATGGTCCCAGTATAGGATGTTGTCAGTGCAGCTTCAAAGAAGAACATCAATTATATTGCAAGTAAGAAACCATGTAAATTGTTTTCTCCTTCATCTTCTAACACTTGATTTTTATGAGTGTGTATAAACATTTCATTTAAAACTTGTGAAAAAATAATAAAATATGGATGATAATATAATTGTATTTTTGAAATAATTTAATAAATCAATTGGTAAAAACTGGTAATAAAATCATTTCTAGTCTTGTTTTATCCTTTTCTCAAATGACTTTTCTGGATCTTAAGCCTTAAAATATCAGTTTTCACTCATCATTAGTGACCATGGGGTTCAGATATGTGTAATTTATAAGCCGCATTGACTAATGTGCATTCACTCCATATAATTTTATTTTAATTTTTAATATCCACTACCCTTATGTTTTTTTTTATCAAATATATTCATAACTCTTCAGGTTGAACCTCCTGCCAAAACTGACCTTAATCAATTTTGGCTGCTATATATGTTTTCATGATTATATTATTCATTTTGCTTTGCAAACTGTGGTATCCTGTATACATAATAAAGGTTTAATAATCTTATACATGTATTGCAGAAACATGTGTCATGCACTCTGAAATCTTTATTCACAAGTTTATATTACATATAATAGTTTATGACAAAGAAACCGGGTCAGCATATAACTTACATTTCTGACATCATTTTCATGATGAAATATATACTCAAACAATGATTTGGCTAAGTTCTGTCTCGATGCATATTTTGTAAAGTTCAATCTACCCAGGTTAATAAAAGGTCCGTCTGGTGTCGACAACATAGAAGCCTACAATACAAAATATTTCCATTAGATTTCTTTTTACATATATGTAATGCTGTTATGGTTCAATGCCTAAAACATTCAGTCAACTTATCCTAAAAAAATCCCATATTACCTTAAAACGTACTCATAATTTTTCTCAAAAGTGAATTGAAGTAATAATTGATATTTATTCAAGTTATAATTTTGAGAAAAAAAAATTAGTAAAATAATATGTTAGTTTTACATAATTAGTAATAAACTTTGCACTTAAATTGTTCAAATATTTTTATTAGAAATTAATCTTTAGACAGATAGACATAATAGACAAAACTATGCTATGTAGTCACATAACATCTGACTCAGGAGTAGATGTCTCTGTTCTTATTCCTAGTAAAAGACTTTATAACATGTGTATTGCATAATTTATAGTAACATAGCAGCAAATATCAATTTTTTAATGTAAACACAATAAGAATAAATGGAGAATGTGTCCCCATGGACACAGATGATGCCCCCGCTTGCATACAACATTATAAAGGGACATAACTCAAGAACAATAAAAGTGACGCTACCCAAATTTGTACTTGATTTTGAATTTGTGGTAATAAGTTTTGTGTATAGGTTTCATGTTTGGTTGGGGCAAACTTAAGTTACAGAACGAAACTAAAAATTTTGCAATTTTTCGATTTATAAAGGGGCATAACTCAATAATGGTTAAAGTGACACTACCCAAATTCAACTTGATCGGTGTTTTATCAGTGGAAGGCAAAATTAAACATTGCATTGTATAAAGCATTGATTGTAGTTGATTCAACCATAATCATGGACAAAGGAAGATAACTCCAATTTCAAAAATTACTTGAACAATGAAATCATTGATATTTTTAGAAAAAAAATGAAAAATTTAGCAATTTTTCCAGTTGTAAAGGTGCATAACTCTAGAACAAAAAAAGAAACGCCACCAAAATTCAAACTTGATCTGTGTATTGTGGTAATAAGCATTGTGTATAAGTTTCATAACATTTGGTTGAGGCAAACTTAAGTTAGAGAACGGAAATGAAAAATTTTGCAATTTTTCTATTTATAAAGGGGCATAACTCTAGAACGGTTAGGTGGCGCCACGAAATTCAAACTTGATCTGTGTTTTGTGGTAATAAGCATTGTGTATAAGTTTGATAACATTTGGTTGAGGCAAACTTAAGTTAGAGAACGGAAACCATTTTTCGGACATACGGACGTATGGACAGACGGACAAGGGTAAAACTTAATGCCCCCTCCGCTTCGGCGTGGTCATAATTAAACTTACCATAATCTCCAAAAAGGGACCAAGCATATGATACCACAGATGATCAAAGCAGTAGATAAATAAGAAATTAATAAATGGGGAATCTGTCCATGGGACACTGATGATGCCCCCGCTTGCATATCATATAACATTATAAAGGGACATAACTGATGAAAAGTAAAAGTGACGCCACCAAAATTCAAACTTGATCTGTATTTTGTGGTAATAAGCATTGTGTATAAGTTTCATAACATTTGGTTGAGGTTAACTTAGGTTAGAGAACGGAAATGAAAAATTCAGCAATTTTTCCATTTGTAAAGGGGTATAACTCTAGAAAAGTAAAAGTGACACCACCAAAATTCAAATTTAATCTGTATTTTGTGGTAATAAGCATTGTATATAAGTTTCATAACATTTGGTTGAGACTAACTTAAGTTACAGAACGGAAACAAAAAATTTAGCAATTTTTTCCATATGTAAAGGGGCATAACTCTAGAACAGTTAAAGTGACGTCACCAAAATTCAAACTTGATCTGTATTTTGAGGTAATAAGCATTGTGTATAAATTTCATAACATTTGGTTGAGACTAACTTAAGTTAGAGAACAGAAACGAAAAATTCAGCAATTTTTCCATTTGTAAAGGGGCATAACTCTAAAACGGTTAAAGTGATGCCACCTAAATTCAAACTTGATCTGTATTTTAAGATAATTAGCATTGTGTATAAGTTTCATAACATTGGGGAAACGAAAAATTCAGCAATTTTTTCATTTGTAAAGGGGCATAACTCTAGAACAGTTAAAGTGACGTCACTAAAATTCAAACTCGATCTGTATTTTGAGGTAATAAGCATTGTGTATAAATTTCATAACATTTGGTTGAGACTAACTTAAGTTATAGAACAGAAACGAAAAATTCAGCAATTTTTCTATGTGTAAAGGGGCATAACTCTAAAACGGTTAAAGTGTTGCCACCTAAATTCAAACTTGATATATGTTTTGTGGTAATAAGCATTGTGTATAAGTTTCATAACATTTGGTTGAAGCAAACTAAAGTTAGAGAACGGAAACAAACTTTGGGACGTACGGATGTACAGATGGACAAGGGTAAAACATAATGCCCCTCATCTACAGCGTGGGCATAACAAAATAAATACGTACAGTTCCTAATCTGACATATCTCCCAGAGGCACTAGTGACAGGTCTGGCAGTATGTGCTGTACGTGGGGTCCTAATGGCTTGTTCCATTGTACCTGGTCTCCCACCCTGTGTCCCAGGACGGGTAAATCCTGATAATGGTCTTCCTGACTGGGACATTGGTCTGTAAAAACATATCACAGTTATTAAATATATTGAGTTACTAAATGGCATTTCAAATTATATGTATATAATGAATGCTTTTCTGTCATTGTTTTACATTTTACTACATTATAAAATTATAACTCTTTCAAATCTATAGCCCGACACCATGTTTACTTAGGATTCATTATTTTTTGTGGAATACCAATTTTCATGGATTTTATTTTTGGTTAAAAGGCAGAAGATGTCACTAATGTTGTGTCCAATTCCTTTTGATACTTTTGCATATAAAACATGAAGCAAATCAAATGCATTTAGTTCTGCTACACAAATAAAAAAAACAGGTGAAACATTGGAAATACATTAGCCATTAATAATCCCTTAAAAGTATAACAAAAATACCAAACTCAAAGGTAAATTCAAAAAAGGGAATTCCATAAAAATTGACAAAATCAAACATTATCAATCAGAGGAATGAGTGGATAAACAAAAGTCATATTCCAGACTAGGTACACACATTTTCCAAAGAAAATGATGGGTTAAACCTTAATCAGGGAGGAAGTAATGATACCTACCTTACACCTTGACTAGGACCACCATGGCCTGTTCCTGGTTGTTTGAGGGATGTCCCAGGTCTGGACACCTGTGCTATGGAATTGTCATCCATTAACATCTCTGCAATACCTTCTTCATCCACATCAACTTCATCTACATAAACCTGTGCTGTTAAAGCTCTAGTCTTTAATGTCCAAGATGCCTAAAATATTCATAAAAAACTTTAAAAAATTTTGAAATTCATTTTGGGATTTGAAATATTAGTTGGTATATAAATTTAATGTAAATAAAATGCTCCACTGGGCGCAGCTTGATACGACCGCAGAGGTCGAACCCTGAACAGTTGGGGCAAGTATGGACACAACATTCAAGCTTGATACACACTGACTTTGGATTGTGATTAAATATTTGACACAGCATAGGTTTCTGACACAGAATGAATGTGGTCTAAGAACTTATAAATTTTTAATTTACCTATTCAAACCATATCATTATTATTTGCTTTTATCATGTTTATATATAAATCAGAAATAACCAATTTAAAATGGAAAATTTTAAAGAAAAAAAAAGGAAAAAAAAATCCCTCCCCCAATTTTTTGAACCCCCTTATGATTCATCACCCCCAAACTCAATCCCAGCCTTCCCTTTGTGGTATGGTACCTTGCAGTACAATTTCAGAGAGATCCATACACTTGAACACAAGTTATTGTCTGGAAACTAGAAAAATGCTTGTTTTTTTGCCCCTTTTTGGCCCCAAATTCCTAGACGTTTAGGGCAATTACACCCAAACTCAAACCCAGCTTTCCCTTTGTGATATGGAACCTTGTAGTACAATTTCAGAAAGATCCATACACTTACACACAAGTTATTGTCCTGAAACTAGAAAAATGCTTGTTTTTTGCCCCTTTTTGGCCCCTAATTCCTAAAATTTTGAGGCAATTACCCCCAAAATCAATCCCAGCCTTCCCTTTGTGATGTGGTACCTTGCAGTACAATTTCAGAGAGATCCATACACTTGAACACAAGTTATTGTCTGGAAACTAGAAAAATGCTTAATTTTGGCCCCTTATTCCTAAACGTTTTGTGCAATTACCCCAAAACTCAATTCCAACTTTCCCTTTGTGATATGGAACCTTGTAGTACAATTTCAGAAAGATCCATACACTTACACACAAGTTATTGTCATGAAACTAGAAAAATGCTTGTTTTTTTGCCCCTTTTTCTGCCCCTAATTCCTAAAATTTTGAGGCAATTACCCCCAAAATCCATCCCAGCATTCCCTTTGTGATATGTAACCTTGTAGTACAATGTCAGAGAGATCCATACACTAACACACAAGTTATGTCTGGAAGTTAGAAAAATGATTATTTTTGGCCCCTTTTGGTCCCTAATTCCTTAACTGATAGTACCATAACCCCCAAAATCAATCCTAACCTTCCTTTTGAAGTATTGAACCTTATGGTAAAATTTCATAGAGATCCATTCACTTAAACTAAAGTTAGAGTGCGAAAACCAATGTGTCTTCGGACGACGACGACGACGCCAACGTCATACCAATATACGACCGCAAAATTTTATTGCGGTCGTATAAAAATCTGATGCTTGTTACTAAAAATTTCACCAGTCTTAATTAACCGCAAAATAAAGTGTTTAAAGCAGCAGCCTCAGCTCCCTTCTGCCTTTTCTATGCAATCATCTGTCCTGAAGAAGAAAACAAACTTTCTTATGCAAAATTTTTGGCAACTAAATGCATTTACCAATATATAAAGTTGGAAATTGAAGCAGGGAATGTGTCAAAGAGACAACCCTACCAGAGAGCAGAAAACAGCCCAAGGCCACCAATCGGTCTTCTACTCAGTGAGAAATCCCGCACCTGGAGGTGGGCTTCAGCTGACTGCTAAACAAAAATGTGTTCTAGTTCATAGAAAATGGACATCACAATAAACTCTGAAACTTATGAATGTACCAAAATTTAGAAAAAAAAACATACAAGAAAAACAATAGCCAGAGGTTCCTGACAGGTGCCAAAATATACCATTTTTTTTTTTTGCTCAATAGTCGAGTGGCACATTGAAAGTAAACACGAAAGTGTCTCACAAGTCATTTTCCACTGAAATCCTTTAAGTTTTAACTAAATGTTAGATATGTAGGTCCTTATGACTTTATGTATAGAACAGAATATTTTTATTTCCAAAATTACAGGGCCCATAAAGGGCATGAATGTATATATATATAACAAATTCTGAAAAGAAAAATATTTGTGTTGAGAAAATGAAAATGATCCACAACAAAAATACAACCAAATAAACAAATAAACCTATGACAAATCTGCTTCTATTGGTACCAAGTTGCTTAAAATCAAACCAGAAATGACCCAAAATAATTTTTTGAAAAAATTTAGTTTTGCATGAATTAAGAGCGAAAATCTCAAGTGACGAATACTTATGGCCTCACTCTGTATATTCAAGTTAAAAATATGATATATTGGTATGCATATGGAACAAATAAGTGATATATATTGCAAAAATCGAGGATTATGATAATAAGGAGAAGAGACTATGGGGTGCTCAAAACTGGGTCCTGTCCTCGAGCACCTATGACTATGAATATTTCAACATATTTCAGTAAAATTTTGTGGATTTAACCGTTTTGAAACTGAAAAATATTTTTTATGTGAATCTTTCAAATCTAAACCATAAGATTGGAAAAAAGTTTGCCTTATATCTTTATATTTATCACAAGATATCAAAAAATGTTCTTCTGTCTCTACTTCAGTGCAAAATTTGCAAAAACTTTGTTCTCTTGGAATTTTGGCTTTATTATATCTACACTGTTCTTTATTTAAACAATGAGCACTGATACGTAGTTGTGTAATTTTACTTTTTATATTTTGGTAAGATTGGTCTGAAATTAGGGGACAAAATTTGGAACAAAAAAATTACTGAAAAACATCAGTTTACTGTCCACAGCTCCAGATTATTTTTTTGTAGTTGTGAGTCAGATTTCTGGTTATAATATGTTATTAGACTATTTTCATAAACACTATTATTTGTATCAAGTTTAAATACTTTACTTTATTTAGGGTATTTTTCCACCCTGAAAAGAGTGTTCTCATTAAACAAAATGAAAATTCCACAAAATCCATATGCTCCTGGTCTCTTGGGGATAAGTCCGTTTCAGAGACAGATAAGGCCTCACATCTAGGTATTATAAGATCATCAAAAAATGAAAATATAATAAATGTGAAAGACCGCATTAGTTTAGCCCGAAGAACAACCTATTCACTTATGTCAACAGGTGTACATGGCACAAATGGCTTGAATCCAAGGATTTCCTATAGTATTTATAGAATCTACATATTACCCCGTCTGCTCTACAGTCTAGAAGTTTTACCTCTTACGAACAGCCAAATCAACGACTTGGGTGACTTCCATTTATCCTTCTTAAAAAATATTCAGGCTCTTCCAACAAGAACAGCTTCTGCTGCAGTATTCTCACTACTGGGTGCCCTACCTATAGAGGCCGAGCTCCACAAAAGACAATTAAGCCTTCTACATTCAATCCTAGCGTCTGAAAATCAAAATCTTAGGGATATCTTGTTGCGTCAGTACCGGTTAGAAATTTGCAATGGAACTTTTCTACACAGAACAGAAAATGTCCTGCTTCAATATAGCCTACCAAGCATTGATGAGCTTCTAATATTTCTTCCAACAAAAATTAAATGGAAACAATCCGTTAGACATGCTATTAATACATTTTGGAGTAATAAATTTAGGTCTTTGAGTAGAGAAAAATCAACCCTGATTAGGCTCTGTACTGACATTATCAATATAGGAGAAATACATCCAGTTTGGAAAACAGCAACAGAAATTCCGGGGGATACAAAGAAAGCAATAACAAAAGCTAGAATACTAACTGGGACCTACCTTTTACAAGCAACCAAAGCTAAATTTAATATAGGAAGTGCAGACCCAATTTGCCCCCTTTGCAAACTCGAGGAAGAAAACCTTCTACATTTCCTAACTAGATGTCCATCTCTGGAAGGGGTCCGTAGGACTTTTTATGCCCCATTAAAACAGGCTGTTATAAATAAAATTGGGATTGATCAGTGGAAAACAAATTTTCAAAATAGGGAAACATTAAGCCAATTAATTGTTGACTGCAGAAAACTAGCGGGTTCTATACTTCCAAACGACAACAATTTTTTAAATATGGTTGAAACAATTTCTAGGAATCTGTGTGATAAATTACATCAACAGAGGTTAAGTCAGATTAATGCTCTATCATAATATAAACATTCATTAATAATAACATGGAATTGAGCTGTCTTTCGATCCTTTTCAGAGCACAAAATAGTGGCGTACATTAAAGAACAGTTAGAAGTGAGAAGTACATGGAGGACAGTTGAGATATATATGTACTTGGGAATACGTTGATATTAACAATAATATACGTAATATACAGACAATTGCTGTATCAAAGTGGTAGCTGATGCCTTTTAGAATATAGAGACATATTTAATAGTGTCAGACCACGGTTTTACTAATGTCATAAAGTGAATCAGTGTCATTTTAGATTTTAGACTATTTTTAACGAAGTATCAAAGTGAATAACTTTTAATATCGTCCGTGTAAAATAAGCCCATCGTATTTTAATATATGCAATTGCGTTTTATACTGGGAAATAACAAAGTGATTTTAGCTGTATAAGTCCGTGTAATATAAGCCCATTGTGTATAATCAAGAAATTGATGTGCTCCTAACCACAGGAGGAAGTTACTGAAAGAAGAAGAAGGTAGAAAACCAGCCTAAGAGTGGAGTCGTGTAGGAGAAAATAGAAAAATAATTTGCAAACAACAGTCGTTTTAATCAAAATGCAAGAATAGTACTTTTGTTTTAAATAAAGATATGTAGGTGATAATCTAATATTGTCAGAGTTAGATCACAGATATAAGACTTAGTCAGTAACTTAGTGCCACTGCAACTTGCAAGTGTGAAACAGTTATCCACCAGAGCCCAACTACATGTTTGCTGTATACCTGGTCATATGGGTTCTTTTCTAGTAACTCTGTACATATATCTGTACATTCTTGATATTTCTTCCTTCTATAACAACTGTATGCTAGAAAAAGTGGGTCCATTTTCAGTTGTCAAGAATGCTATGTGAGGGGAGATAACCCTTTGTGACCTTCCTGAAAAATGATCTGTAAATATGATCTGTCTTCGACAATTTAATAAACACGCTACATGAAAGTAAATTTGGAAATTTGATTAGAAATGACTAGCTTTTATAAAGTAGATCACATGTTTTAATCGGACATAATAGAGTAAAAGTGACTTATTTTAAGTACTAGGGTTAACAATCGTTTTTACAGTGTTCACCGGCTTTGGTCGACAGGTTCCCTGTCATGGATCGTTTCTCTCTAACCTTATCGTTATCGTAGAAGGATCAGATAGAGAATTTAAACAAAAACTCCAAAGAAAACCACAGCATGGGTGTGGATTCCTGGTTATTCATCTTTTCTGTGATAGATGAAGGAGCTTTGTTGTTCCTTGTTGTTTATTTTGTATCCTTAAACTGTCCATTAAATTTTTTTTTTATTAAAAAAAACTCACAGTCATCAGGCACAAATTACTGATTGATTGGCTATATAGTATAGTGGATGAAATGATTTGTTATTTTAAATCCTTGTTGAGTTTAGAGAAGGGGTTATTTGATCAATTTTGCTACCTAATGAGTTTGTGTGCTTGTCATCTTTTTTCAATACACCTTATCGCTCTTTGGAAATCCACACCACTTGACCTGAGAATAAGACTGCCGCTTGAACTATTGACAGCATTCAACAATCACTTTTCCATTAATATAGTGTCAGTTTTTTTCTATCATTGTCTATTTTGACGACAGAGATGACAAAACAATAGCGATTAGGTGTATGACACTTTGTCTTACAAGAAAGTTTTGTACTGTGAGGATTAAAATATGCAGCTGAGCGTATAATAAATGTATATGTTCAATATTTTTATCAATTCAGCCATTCAAATCATGTTAAATATTGTATGTTTTGTCTTAATGTCTTATATTATAAGAACATACATGTACAGTACCTTGGGTATGTTTAATGTTAAAAAAAGATTATAAGGAAACGCTGATTAACCCCCAATCTTAAAACATAGCCCGATTAAATACCCGGTTAGCACTATAAAATGATTACTCAATAGAGGGATTAATACTCATTTGGGCAATGGTTTCCTATTCTGCAGGTTGTTCCAAACCTGTACAATCCAAGTGTCATAAAAATGTTGGCTCAAATGTTGCAGAATCCTAAATCGCCGAAAGGTAATATATAATTTCTCTCTCTCTCTTTTACCAAGGGTTGACATAGATGGCTATCTTCCTCCTCTTCAATTATTTTTCAAGAAGGCTCTCATAATTTCAACAGAACTTAATTGAATCTTACACCAATTGTCAACACAAAATGAACAACTGAAGTGACACAACTCTTTATAGGTTTTGAATTGTAAAGAGTTATCCAGGTTCATTTTATCATCATTTTTTTTTCAGTTCAAAGTAGACAATGAGATCAAGAAAATAAATTTTTAAGAAATGTAAAAAAATAATTTAATTTCACATGATTTAGGAGAATAAAAACATGCATTTTCTATAATTGATTTCCTTGACAGAATTTAGGTTATAACATTATCAGATTTAGAATGTGACTACTTAAATGCTACAAGTTGTTGTGATAAACTTAATAAGGTATGTATATTATCATTGTGTAAACTTTTACTACACTAATGTTTTAAAGTAATGTATAAGTTGTTTATACTGGGATTGGGCACAGACTGGTTGGCTCAGCTTCGAATAATGTGTCAGGGACTTTGGAAAGGGTGACATATCTTCCTGCAGACTCTTACCTTGTGAACTAGTAGGTTAAAAGTCTGGCTTTGAATGTTACTCGAGACACAGAACAAAGTTGGGTTTATATACATATCACATGAACTTGTTCTAGTTCTGAATATGCATTTGATTTGCCACTGGGCATTAAAGAGCCATCCATCAAAAGTACCATGTTTTGTGTACTTTTACAAATCTAAATTACCTTTAACCTGTGATTTTTTTGAAACGACTAGTATGTCCTATTCAAAGCAATGATCATGATTGTGTCAAACATCAGAACACAGAAAAAAACACTATTCATCTAGAAATTTAAACAGGTTTTTACATCTTTTAAACTTGGGAACATTACATTTGTTCAAAATAACTTGTTTTCCAAACATTATAAATATTCATCATGTTTGACAGCTACAAAGTATTTCAATTATGGTCTGGATAACTTAATTCAAAATATTTCAATGTACCAGTATTATTAAATGGCCAGATGTATTTTTAGAGGAAAATTAAAACGTGTGTCACAAGTTTAGATTTAAGAACAAAAAAATGAAGTAGGAAGTAATTCATCATTTCAGACTCTTATTGCGAACCCAATGAAAGTTTTCCACAGTGCCATCTCTATCTTGACCAGGTATTTAAACTTTTGTAAGTTCACCTGTCCTATTGAATGAATACAATCGCTATTTTTCTCTGTGTAGTTTATTCACTGGGACCTTTAAATTTCTTCTAAGAGAAATCTATCACTCATTGATTAATTTACCTGAGTAAAAAAATATTCTTATATATAGACAAAAATACTTTTTTTATACTCATTAACTGCGTGTGATGATGTATTTATTCAATATTAATAATATATTTTCATTCAGTTTAATATAAACATTGATTCAATCATAAGAAGTTGATTTCAAACAAAAGTTTTATCAATGTTCCTATTGAAATTTGATTTTTTTTTGTCTAATTATAGAATACATTTAAGAAGATCTTAATTTGAACATCATAATTTTCAAGTTTTTATTCATGTCAAACAAATTTTTTTTTAAAAGGAACAATGTTAAAAGTTTTGTCAGAAATCAACTTTTTATGATTGAATCAATGTTTATATTAAACTGAATGAAAATATATTATTAATATATTATTAATATAACATAAATCAACGCTAACATGTTTAACCCCTCCACATTCTGTATGTATGTGCCTTTCCCAAGTCGGAAGCCTGTAATTCAGTGGTTGTTGTTTGTTTATGTGTTACATATTTGTTTTTCATTCATTTTTTGTACATAAATTAGGCCGTTAGTTTTCTCGTTTGAATTGTTTTACATTGTCATTTCAGGGCCTTTTATAGCTGACTGTGTGGTATGGGCTTTGCTCATTGTTGAAGGCCGTACGGTGACCTATAGTTGTTAATTTCTGTGTCATTTGGTCTCTTGTGGAGAGTTGTCTCATTGGCAATCATACCACATCTTCTTTTTTATATTTTATTAATGTTTCAACTTTGCATCACTGTTTACATTCAACCGATTGAAAATATATTATCAATATTGCATAAATATAACATCACATGCAGTTTTGAGTATAAAACTTGGATGGAGAGTTGTCTCATTGGCACTCATACCACATCTTCCTATATCTATTTTCCTCTATTTACAAGATTTTTTTTTACTCAGGTAAATTAATCAATGAGTGATAGATTTCTCTTAGAAGAAATTTAACGGACCCAGTGAAAAAACTACATGGAGAACAATAGCTATTGTATTTATTCAATAGGACAGGTGAACTTACAAAAGTTTAAATACCTGGTCAAGATAGAGATGGCACTGTGGAAAACATTCGTTGGGTTCGCAATAAGCATTCATTGGCATTCTGGAAATAAGTATTCACCTACAAAAGAATGTGGTTCCTTGATAAATTTTTTTAACTGTTGATATCGGTCAATGATATAACATACATTTGGATATATCATATTAACAATAAATATCTAAAATCCTATAAGATTCAGAAATGTATAAGAATTCTTCATATTTCAATCGCTTTTAAAAAAAAAAATTCCAGTTCAAAAAAATATTATAAAGGTGAATAATTTGTTTTTTGCAGTGGGTTCTATTGGAAGCTATTGCTCAGTGTGTTTTAGCAGTTCTGTTTTTGATAACAGGACATTGGATATTGTTTCTAATGTATGCTCCAGTAACAGCTTGGTTAGTTTATAAGTAAGTAGAAGTTTTTTGTTTTATTTGCTGTTTTTTTCCAGTCGTAATTATATGGGCATTAAAGAGCCATCCATCAAAAGTACAATGTGACACACAAGTACCCATGGTACTTTTGATGGATGGATCTTTAATGCCCATAGTCTTGAACTCATTAGTATGTTAAATGTTTGATATAGACTTTATAGATGTAATGAAACATAATGGAAACCTTAAACATTTAATGGGATAAAGAGTAAACATAGGATTCTTTTTAAAAAACTTTAAAAAAAAGGAATGTTGCAGTATTTCAATTGGAACAAATATTCATGTTTCTATTTATAGATTAATTGATGAATTCCCTTTCCTATTTATAGATTAGTTAATAAACCGTCAGGAGATATTGGAATGTATGATCCTACAGAGATTCATAATAGACAACAACTAAAGACTTACATGAAAGAAAATCTCATTAAAATGGGATCCCATCTCATATTCTTCTTTATATTTTTATACTGGTATGTATATTCAAATATAAATGTATGTTGGCCTTAGTATACATCAATAAGATAGCAATCCAACAAAAATATAAACAAAGGGCAGCATGTGGATTTTATCACCTGACAAGTGTCTTGACTGTATGTCAAGTTCTAAATCAGCTTAAGACAATGTTATAAACTGTAATTTATTGTTAAAAGGGGGTTTCCTCAGCTTCTCGAATGTTGCTTATTGCAATTTTGTATTTTATCTCTTTTCATTTTGGGAGACATTTGTGGCACAAATAAAAAATGTCACAATAAAGTTTTTGAAAAATCTGCTACATGAACAAAAAAGATTTATCATGGGGACATGTGACTAAAGATATTAAATCAAGATTATGCCTACCTTTTCTATTATAAACAAATTAATGGCTTCCATTCACTTACACAATTTAATTGATTTCTTAACTTTTAGTTTTGTGTGAACCTGATTATGGCTTAACATGTGGCTTGGGCAGGAAAATTGATATGTGTATTTTGTGAATTCATACAAAGATGTTATTGTATAAATTGTGTATGTGAAAACTTCATATATGCAGTGTTTTCTAGATATAGCCATTTAGCAGTATTCAATTTTACATGTGCATGTATTGTATTCCTAATTGGTATCTGCAATGTCGTCAATATTCAACTAATAATTTGTCCATAGCCTAGTAGACCTATGAAGCAATGGTTTTCACAAACAGCTTTATGCTATTATAGAATAACTGTGCTTATTGTAGTTCATTAACAAATTCTTCTTGCCTTAAACTCATAGTACCATAAGAGCTGTTCCAGAATTAAATGTAAATACGGAGAGGAGTTTAGAAATCACTTTTAAATTTTATCCCACCATGTGTAAATTTTAATTGATTTTTGCCTATAATTGTTCAGTCTTTCTTTCTAAACTTACCGCCACCAATCAAATTTTAGAAGATGTGTCTTCTAATACAGTACAATACCACAATTAATACTGGAGCAGTCCTTACCAATTTTACACTTTCTCTAAAACAACTAACTAAGCATGTACATGGGTGTTTCTTTTCCAGGATGATTTATTCACTAATTAAAGGACTGTAACGTTACTTACAGGATGACTATATCGTTGCTGGCTTTGACCAAGGACGCAAAGGAAGTAGAATCAATATTTCCACCTGTCGAAGTTAGTGACCTTTGAACTTGACACGCAATATTGTCAAGTACAATACAGACTACTTAATAATAATATGCATGTTTATTATAGAGATTCTTTTAATTTCAATTGAGTGTAACAAATTTTTTCATCTTGTTAATTTATTTTTAAATGTACATGTAAAACACAACAAAGATGTTTAACATCTTTTGAATATGTGACATTTTTTACACATTTATAAATTTATTAATTCTGCAATGTACATGTGAGAATATTGCCGCTTACTTATGATTATTGACAGCAAATATATACAAGTTAAAAACTTGCAGTTTACAATTCACATGCTATAAATTGATCATTGATAGGGTAACATTTAGTGTGAACTTAATTCCGTGTTTCAGCTCATGATTTCTGCAATTTATTGAAATTCCAAGAGTTATCTCTGTTGCAGGAAGTTATTATAGTTTTAAGATGGGAAATTCCTATATGTTTGTAAATTCAACAGATAAAAGATAAGACTTCTGTGTTAGAAGTTAATAAATAACATAAACAAATTACCAAAAATCATCTATGAAAATTACAGTTATAAGTAATAAGCTCTAATATAATGGTTTTGAAATCTGAACTATAAATACAATTCTTTTCAGCATACCTCCAGAGCATATTTTCTCAGTAAAGTTCAATTTTTTCTTTATCATGTGGAAGTCCCCTTCTTCTTTAACTCCTTTTAAGAGTTATCACACCTCTTATAAGCTCTGTTAAATAGAAAATCAGAGCCCTATTTGTTTATTCAGCTCCTCATTATTGAGGCTTCAGTTTCTTTGTTGAAGGGGTATTTCTTATGAGATGAGGAATACTGTTAAAATTTTGTTGTGAGTGTTTTATGTCATGCAAGATTAGAAATTTTGTTTTTTTTTATATTGTGTATTATTGGTTTAGTTGTCATTGTATGTGCTTTTGCAGTTGATTTCATTCCTGAACTTGTTTCATTTTGTTTTTTTAATTTTATACATTTCATTGTAAATAATCTTGTTTTGTATTACAGTTTGAATGAGCTTAAAGCCTTTGATGAACAAGTACCTAAATCTTACCATGCCTACTGTTAAAAAAGTAAATGTTTTTATTGCTATTTCAATTTAGTATCCTATTTCAAATCAGTTTTTAAAAAACATGCAAAAAACAAAACATTTTTGACCCTGTTTCCAAAGACAGTAAAATTGCAGTGAAAGTATGTAGGGGAACATAAGCCACCAAAAAGTTTTGATTAATATAAGGGGAGATAACTACTTTGATGACAATAAAAAAATCTTAAGAATTACCAAAAAAATGTGGAGGCAAGAAATATGAATTTTTGTGCAGACAATTGAAACAATTAAACCTGTTGACAATTGTTGATAATAAATTATTTCTATATTGCAAATAAGTTCAAGCATCCTAATATCCATTTTTGAAAAACTTTTAAAAAATTACATGTTTGTAAAACTAAAAGCCTTGTCCCCATCTTATTTAAAGTTGCACTTCAGTTATGATTAAACTTAAATTACTCTAGCAACTCTCAAATACATGTTTAAGATGCAACAGTATTATAGAATTTAAAAAAAAACACTAATCAGTTGACTTTATATTTTTGTGTTGTTACATGTAAGTACATATGGATATAGGGAGGCACTAAGTGTTGTAAAGGCAGTTCCCTCTCATGGTTCATATATTTATTCATGAGTTATATTTATTCATAGACAGCTTCTTTTGAAATTCTGTAATTTATTCAGGGAAAAACATATATTTTAGAAGTCACAATATGCATTTAGGTCATAAATTGGTGCAGATTTTGTTGTTGCATAATTATTGTTGGTGCATATAAAATGTGTTTATTAAGATTTTTATTCCATGTTGGTATTATATATTGATAAGTCCCATTGATAGTGTATGCCTATTGATTGTTTCATTAACAAGTTTGAGTTCAGTTTGTGTAGGAAAATGCTATTTAATAATATTAGTACATGTTGAAGATTTGGAGGTCCTCCATTATTATGAAGTTCTGTTTTTTTCTCCTATTTGAACACAACAGAATAAGTTAAAAGAACAAGTGGAAAATTTATCCCCCAGAATTTTTGAAAAAAGGGAAAGTACCTATTACCTCTAAGAAACTTTTGTTCTCAATACTTGCAATTCCAATTGTTATCATTCCATTAAAGTATTTGGTCTTTTAAGGTGTTATTTTACATCATTTGTGTGTTCGTTGGACATAAATTCTATGTATTGGCTATTCCTGAAAAAAATATATGGGGGGGTTGGAAGGCACTTTAATTATTTTTGTAAAGGTGGGGACAGGTCACGAAGGTCAAATTGTGTGGTTATGTATGCAAAGTTACACTTTCTACATTAAATTGTAGTTTGTTACAATCTTGTGTTTTCCTCTACCTACAAAATCCATAAAAATTACCATAGTCTCACAAAAATACTGAAATACATCAATTTCATAACAAAATAGATAGAAAAAATAAAAATATATTTAACCATGTAGTTGTGAGCAAAATGTTCAACATATGTTTTTTTTAATGTAGTTTTTGCACTTATTGATCTCATTGGTAAGTAATGATTTCATATATCAGATGTGTATTTTTTTATTCAAAAAACATGTTGTTGTCAGTAAACCTGTAAAATACTTGATACAGCAAACAATAAACAAAAATATATAAATAAGAAAATGTGGTATGCATGTTTAATATAGTTTTCCTGTAAAATATTTAAAAAGTGCAAGTTCATCCATTAGACCCTTTTTCAAAAGAATTTGAACATTGGTGGGATCTTTCCATTAAAAAATTTGAAAAGTTGACATTTTTACTAACAAAATTAATTAGATTTCTGTTAAACATGTTAAAAGAATAAAGCTACTTACAGATGAAGGCTATATCTAGAAATAAATGGAGGAGGGATTGAAAAGGTACATTTCTACCCTATTACCTCAAAAAAGGAGGGGTATATGATGATGCACATGCCTTTTCATCACAAGTTGGGTTTGCAGATGAAAATTTAAGTACTGCTTTCCCAAATTTTTTATAATTTAATCATGAATCATAAAATACAGTTCAAGTTCAGTTTGACTGTTTTGACATTAAAAGTTAAGAGTTATTCCCCTTAGTAACCTTAAAACAATTTTTTGTGTGTTTCCAGTGATAATTATTATATCACTGTTTTACAAAATCTTTTAAGATTCTAATACTGTTATGAAAAATAAAATATAGGTCACAATTAAATCTAATTTTGGATTTAGAACTCTGTTTTTGCAGGCAGGGATATCTGTGACAACTAGATCACCAAATTCTCTTTTTCAAATTACACTTCAAGCACATTTGTAAAAAAACAACTACAACCTTTTAAGATTTATAAGTTTTTCCTGACCTTAGACCCTCCTACAAGCAGTTCTGGAAAAATAAGATGCACAGTTTTGCTTATTCTGTAGTTTAGTAAGAAGTTTTACATGCTTATCAAAGTGTACATCCCCAAAAGGTTTACTGTTTGGAATGCAATAAGGCTTTTGAATACTACTTGCCATACTTTCATAGAATATTGGTTCTAGACAATCTCTTCTTAATAGTGTCACAAAAGATTTTGTAATTTTAGTAGATAATTATATTTGTGTATGTTCATATCAATTATTGGTCTGTTATATGCAGCAGTTATTAAAAATATTAAAATGTCTCCTTGTTTGTTATATTTTACTAAATATATGCTATTTTACTGGTTTTTAGTTAATTATACCATATACTGTAAATTTTGAAATTAATGTACAAATGTACCAGTAATGCTTTATTATTGTGAAAATTTTCATTTAGTTCAGATAACATTATTTAGATTCTTACCATGCATATTTCAATAAAAGAAATATCAAAAATTTTGCATTTAAATTTCACATTCCAGTCAACTTGTAAACTTATGATGATTCAATTTAATAATTCACACATTAACTTTTGAATTTACAGTATGCTGCTACAGAAACAAAATCATGATCTTTTAGTGGTTACAGGTGGGGGTATCTGTAATCACTAACTTCTCTAGTTCAAATTGTCCCTCTGGAGCTAACAGACGTGTTAAGTAAGTTTCAATGTGTCATGAAGTTTTTTATGCCCCTGCCTTAGCGGAGGGGGCATTAAGTTTCACCCTTGTCCGTCTGTACGTACGTACGTCCCAAAGTTGGTTTCCGTTCTCTAACTTTAGGGTGCCGTCACGATAACTGTTCTTGAGTTATGCCCCTTTATAAACATAAAAATTGCTAAGTTTTTCATTTCCGATCGCTAACTTTAGTTTGCCTCAACCAAATGTTATGAAACTTATACACAATGCTTATTACCACATAATACAGATCAAGTTCAAAATTGGGTGGCGTCACTTTTATCATTCTTGAGTTATTCCCCTTTAAAAACATAAAAATTGCTGAATTTTTCGTTTCTGTTCTCTAACTTTAGTTTGCCTCAACCAAATGTTATGAAACTTTTACACAATGCTTATTACCACTTACCGGTAATACAGATCAAGTTTAAACTTGGTTGATGTCACTTTTACCGTTCTTGAGTTATGCTCCTTTATAAACATAAAAATTGCTGAATTTTTCGTTTCCGTTCTCTAACTTTAGTTTGCCTCAACCAAATGTTATGAAACATATACACAATGCTTATTACCACAAAACTCAGATTAAGTACAAATTTGGGTAGAGTCACTTATACCGTTTTTCAATTATGTCCCTTTATATCTTTATATGATATGCAAGCGGGGGCATCATCTATGTCCCATGGATACATTCCACATTCATTTCTCACTTAATTTTATGAACTCTTATGACCTGAAATGCTTCTACCTTGTCAAGTTTTGAGTTTCAGATTTGTTATCCAGCAACTCTATTCACAAAAAATCTTACCGTAAAAATTAAGCGTGAGTTATACTGAATGTTCATGACTTGAAGAGTATTGTCTCTAAGATTTTCTCTTAAAACATGTGAGTTTAGAGACTTTAATTGTCAAAATGAGGTAGACCCTTACATCATGCACTCATGGTAAAGCTGTTTTCTTAAGATAGATCCATGGTACCAAGATTCATTTTATGTTGGATTGTTCTGTGTACAAAGGGCATTTTTAAAGTGCTCTTTGAAGGCATTGAATTAAATTTGTAGGTAAAGATTTTGGTCAACATCATAGAAAAAGAACTAGGCCAGTAACCACTACTTGAACATGTCAAACAGATGACTCTACTTTCAAGATCAGGTGTTCAATGTCCAGATTGACATTTTGTTAAATTTATGGAGTGAAGTTCACAACATGGCATACTAGAATAAAAGAAAAATGTGTCTGAGGATACGAATGCCCCTGCTCAAATTTTGCAATTTTCCAAGTTGATAAAATGCTCCGCAGGGCGCAGCTTGATACGACCGCAGAGGTCGAACCCTGAACAGTTGGGGCAAGTATGGACACAACATTCAAGCTTGATACAGCTCTGAATTTGGATTGTGATTAAATATTTGACACAGCATAGGTTTCTGACACACAATGAATGTGGTCTAAGAACTTAAAAAATTTACCTATTATGGTCCAATATCCAAAATCTAAATACATACACGGTTAGATTCAGCATATCAAAGAACCCCAAGAATTCATATTTTGTTAAAATCAAACTAAGTTTAATTTTGGACCCTTTAAACCTTAATGTAGACCAATTTGACGGGACCAAAAATTAAGAATCTAAATACACGGTTAGATTCAGCATATCAAAGAACCCCAATATTTCAATTTTTTATGAAATCAAACCATATCATTATTATTAGCTTTTATATATAAATAAAAAATAACCAACTTAAAATGGAAAATTTTAAAGAAAAAAAAAAAGGAAAAAAAAATCCCCCCCCCCCCCCCCAATTTTTTGAACCCCCTTATGATTCATCACCCCCAAACTCAATCCCAGCCTTCCCTTTGTGGTATGGTACCTTGCAGTACAATTTCAGAGAGATCCATACACTTGAACACAAGTTATTGTCTGGAAACTGTAAAAATGCTTGTTTTTGGCCCCTTTTTGGCCCCAAATTACTAAACGTTTAGGGCAATTACCCCAAACTCAAACCCAACCTTGTAGTACAATTTCATAAAGATCCATACACTTACACACAAGTTATTGTCCTGAAACTAGAAAAATGCTTGTTTTTTGCCCCTTTTTGGCCCCTACTTCCTAAAGTTTTGAGGCAATTACCCCCAAACTCAATCCCAGCCTTCCCTTTGTGGTATGGTACCTTGCAGTACAATTCCAGAGAGATCCATACACTTGAACACAAGTTATTGTCTGGAAACTAGAAAAATGCTTATTTTTGGTCCCTTTTTGGCCCCTTATTCCTAAATGTTTTGGGCAATTACCCCCAAACTCAATTCCAGCTTTTCCTTTGTGATATGGAACCTTGTAGTACAATTTCAGAAAGATCCATACACTTACACACAAGTTATTGTCATGAAACTAGAAAAATGCTTGTTTTTGCCCCTAATTCCTAAAATTTTGAGGCAATTACCCCCAAAATCAATCCCAGCATTTCCTTTGTGATATGGAACCTTGTGGTACAATGTCAGAGAGATCCATACATTAACACACAAGTTATTGTCTGGAAGTTACAAAAATGCTTATTTTTGGCCCCTAATTCCTTAACTGTTTGTACAATAACCCCCAAAATCAATCCCAACCTTCCTTTTGTGGTATTGAACCTTCTGGTAAAATTTCATAGAGATCCATTCACTTAAACTAAAGTTATTGTGCAAAAACCATGTGTCTTCGGACGACGACGACGCCAATGTCATACCAATATACGACCGCAAAATTTTTTTGCGGTCGTTTAAAAAGGGGCATTACTCTAGAATTGTAAATGACTCACAACCCAAATTCAAACTCTGTCTACATGTTGTGGTTCATAGCATTTTGCAAACCAAAGTTAGAGTGCAAAAAGGAAAATGGGACGGACGGAAAGTCAAGGGTAACACTTAATGCCCCCGTTGCCTTCAGTGGGGCATATAAATAACTGCAAAGATCAAACCACCTGTATTCTAATACACAACTTTCCTTATTTGCTCTTCCTTTAAAAGACGCGTGTTTCATATCTGTGTTATTGGGATGCTTTCTCATTGACTTACTGTATACCTCAGATCTCGTGTTATTCATAATCAGGATAGAGTTGCCAATCTATAGCAACTTTGTCTAAGACCACAATTTTCCATATTGACAACTTCTTGACATCCTGCATCAAATTTCCATGTTTATTCAGGACAAAGTGTCAATGTGATAGAACAAATCCTGCTTTGTACTGAAATGTTGAGGCTGATTGGTAACCTGCTGATTTACAAGGTATTATCAGTCTGCAGGAACATATCACCACTCCAGGCCTACCAGTCTTATCTTCTCCAAATGCTGTATGCATGGCATAAAAACAACAAATACCAATTTTATTTTTTTGGTTTTAACCTTGCCTCGGATTAAACATGTTAGCTCCTGCACTATATTATATTATTTACTATACTACAAATCTTCTGCACTTAAGAAAAGCATGAGATAAAGAAAAGTCTTGGCAACTTTTCGTACTTAAAACAAGTGCATTAATCATTTGTCACAAGGGGACTCATTGGCCAAGTGATCTAGGTAGTTAGTCACATCTCCCTGTACAAGTCACTTCAGCCTACAACCTCTTCTTTGGGGTGTTCCAGCTTTGCAGCGTTTTTTTTTTTTTGCAAAAATTACAAGGAGCACTGGATCATTCAGTATAAAGTTTGTCAACAACTTTCCAAGATCATAACATTACCTAACCTGAATAATTCAGTCGTTATATTCCGCTGATCTACGATTACTTCTTTAACGCCTGAATGCATAGACAATGAAAAATCTTCAATCAATCATTTGGAATTAGCTCGTGATTTACTTATCCAATAAATTTTGTGCTGATTGCCGATTGGTCACCTCTTCTACAGGGCACCAATCAAAATCCAGAATTCGTGAAGAGTTTTTATTGTGTCAGGAATTCAGGCCCTTGCAAGTAGTAGAGATCGATAACAGGGAGGAACTGAATTATTCAGGTTATACCTTACCCAAAATACTCATTGTGCAAATGCTATGAAATTGCCCAAATTTTAAGAAATTGGTCCTCCAAATTTTTTATTCAAGCAAAGATGTTGGCATTATAGTAAAGGAATACATATAAGTCATTAAAGTATAATGTTTATTGAGAATATACAAAATGTTTTGTGTTAGTGTTTCTACATTCATCATTTTCCAGTTAAACAATAGATTCATTTATTCATGATTTAATAAATATCAATAGATGGCACAGAATAATTTTTATGAACTTAAAATTTCTAACAAAAAAAAAATTAAACAATTCAAAAACGTTACAGAAAATTTTGAAACAGATTAATTTCTTCAATCAGAGTAAAAAAAATATGTATTTATGCATTTTCTCTAAAATTTCAATTCTAACAATTAATTTCCAACGCTTTCTTTTGAGTCAGATTTAAAAATTGAGGTAGGTTTAACCTATGAAAGAAGACAAAGTTCAGATCAGTAAACAAAGTAATCAAAATACCTTATAATTGACTGCTGGAGCAAACATTCAGAATTTGTGGAATGCAGGGAATTGTGGGATATTCAAGAATCAACTATGACATAATTTAAAGAAAGAGATTCCAAGTCTACAAGCAATTTTTGAAAGGATACTAAGTTAGCAATAAAAGCTTTTAGTTTTGCAAGACAAACATGGTTAGATTTTGTAAAAATGGTATGTTTGATGAACATTAAGTTTTGCCATTTAATTTCAAAATTAATAATCTATATAATGAAATGAAACTGAATTTCTCGTTTAAATAAAGAGAAAGCTATACATGTACTAAATATTTCTAACATACACAAAAACACACATTGTAAAACCTCTCACACCTTTATAGATACAAATTATAAAAGCACTGACTGTATTCATTCACCAACAAATAATAAGTCACAATAAAATAAATTATCATACAAATTAAAATGCATATAAATAATACACATCCACAAATTAAATATATTGCTTAATTAAAATATATAAACATTCAAAACAAATAAACAATTTATCTCTTCAAAACAAATGCTACTTTGTAAAGCACCTGATGCTTGTTATTCCAAATAAATAGATTTTACACATTTACCACAATCATAATTCGTCTTTTCAGATTCTAATGAATTGTGGGTAATTTAATTGTTTTTACAGCAAAATGAAAATAACATTCCATCATTGGTCAATAATCATTGTTCAGACATTTTCAACCAATCACAACAGTTGGTATAAACTTTTGAAAATAATACCCATAATGCATTAGATTCTGAAATGGTGAATTGATATAGACTTGATTTTATATCCCCTGTCATCTTCCCAAGAGATAAGATTTCTTTAATTCACATATATAACTTTTCTTCCAATTACCCTCAACTACAGATCAGATATATTTTGACTTTTTCAACCATTCAGATTAGAAGTTGTTGCAGTGACCTAAACTACAACTTGAAAAGACATAGTTTTTGGTGTTCTATTGTAAACTTACAAACTTGTACAATCCAATGAAAAAAGTAAGTAAGGAATCACTATAATATGAACTAGGCATTGCATTTAAAATGAACTCATCAGGTGTACAAAGTAAGGATAGAGGAACTAAATTTAATTTCTAGAAACAATCCATATCATCAAATATATCAACTATCTCAATGCATAGATGACATAAGAGAAGATAAAATATACAGAAAAAGCTAATATGGTGACATCCATGAAAACGGTTTTGCAAGGTATCATTCACACATATTTTATTATCATTTCTTTACATTTTCTATGCAAAAATATTTCTATATGAGCTAACTTGGTTTGTGGTAGATTTGCCATCACAAACCTTGCTACCTTTATAATATAACAGATTGAGTGAACTATGTGTGTGGGTGTGTGGATAGCAAATAACCTGTAAAACACAATATTCACTCTTTCATAACATATCAAGCTCTACCATTGTAATGTCAGACATCTATGGTTTGTATAGCTTGTTTCTATTGGTCGGTTAACTCAATTAAGCTACAGAAATAACTGTATATGGCGAAGCTTTAATCATTTTCTGCAGCAGACCTATGGTTTATAGAAATAATGACAACTGCCTTAATTCCAGAGATTTCTTATGATGATGTCCAACAAAAACATCACAAGAAAGAGCCATCAATTCATTGTCGAACTACAAATTACTTTACTTTTTTCAGATTATCTCGCATCAAGAAAAGGCATACAACTTATAAAATAAACAAAACAAAAAATCACTCATATATAGCCATGCTTGCATCTATATCATTTCATATATTCTTCTATATTTACATTGCAAAAAAAAAAATACAAACAAAACAAAATGTTGAAATCCTACATGCCAACACAATTAAACTCAAGTAACTTACACAAATGAAGAAATATGGTTTATAATTATCAGTATACTCTCTATATATGTGCTAAAATGCATGCATCAATGAAATTGTAAGAGCCTTCAAAACATGCATTAAGTGACAATAGCATTTTTTGAGAAATTAATTTATTCTCAAATTTATATTTTCTTTCAAAATTTAATACATTGGTACAACAATGTTGCAATATCACAAATTATGAAGTAATGCTTCACAATTTTTGTCACAAATCATTTTCATTGTCATACGACCGCAATAGAGTTAGTGTGGTCATAGCTAAAATAAATGTGCTAAATATCATCTCCCCTGAAAATGCTGGTTATACCCTAAAGCTATGGGTTACTTAATTTTATTCTAAGAAATGGAATCCTTGGAAATCTTGAATTCTTCTGTTCACAAAAATCTTAACACTTAACTTTATTGAACTTAAATTTAAGGATTTTTATGAGATCCAGATTCAAAGAAATAGCTCTGACCTGTGCTGTCACATCCAAAAAATATTTCATACATAATTGCTATTCTATCAAATTGGTTGCTAGTAATTTTTGGTTTTAGGTGATTTGATGAGTACAAAATAACTTATAGAAAGTACCTAGGCTGTTTGGGAATTTTTTTAGTCCCTTCTTACCCTTCCACACCCATTATGAAATAGCCCTAAACATGAATAAAATGCATTTATCAAACATGAATAAAATGCATTTATCTGCTATTTCTTTTTACTTTTCACATGTGCTTAGACACTATTTTAAATTTTAAAGTCATAAATGAAAGGGGTAAAAAATACAGAGCTTCTAAAACTTGATCCCATTTTAAAAGCTTTTGTGAGGGTAAGAAATGGTCAGTTATAACCATACTGTAAATTCAGAAATGTGTGCATTTATTACCGTACTGTGAATCTTTGATCTCTGGCAAAAATGTGAAATCTAATTCAAGTGATTTCAAAAAATTCATAAAGGAAATCACTACTGAAATTATGAATACAAGTTTTTATTATTGCGAACCTGATACTGTCACGAATGACAACATTGCTATAGATTTAGGTCAGGGTTAGGTGTAAGGTTAAGGTAAGGCAAGGTAAGACTTGAGTTAAGGTAATTGTAAAGCGGTAGTACAATGTAACGGTACAGCCCTATGTGGCAAGGGATTGCCTAAAGTTAACAATGAGTTAAAATAATTCAAAAACATAACATTTGAAAATACTGAATGTAAATTATGTGGGGGAGAAGGAGTATAACATGTTACTGTAAATTCAGAAAATTTTGTGATGTTTTTATTATTTCGAAAATTGTGAAAACGAGATCAAATGTAGATGGAAAGCAACAAGCAGGGTCAATCTTAGCTGATTTAGTTACACCATCTGAAATTACTCTAAATTCAGAAATTAATGCATGCATTTATTATTGCGAATCCTTGACCATTGGCAAATATGCAAAAGCTAATTTATGCGATTGCAAAAATTTTATGAAGAGAAATCAACACTGAAATTGTGAATGCCAGTTTTTATTATTGAGAACCTGATACTGTCACATTTTCTGTCATAAATAAAAACATCTCGATAATTTCTGAATTTAAGGTAACCTGAATTCTTTAAATAAACAGTACCCATCAACCTATAAACATATTCTTATTCATACTATATGTCTTGCAGCTAAGTAACTTAAGTTCATATTTGATATGATAAAATACAAATCAATTTAATAAAAATCTGTATTCTGAACACTTACATTTATTTCAATAACAAACCAGGCCTTGGCCTTTAACAATAATGCATGTACTTGTCAGTATTTTGTCTTTAAAATTCCCATCTACATTAATACAACTTTATGCAAACAAACAAATCAAAGAATATCATTTTGAGATTTCACTTAAACTGTACATTCAGCTGGTTTAAAAAATTTGGCACAATTTGTTGAGGAAGTAAATTACATTGAATAGTAGGATTTTTCAAATGTTGGTCTTCAAATTTATAACCTGTGGTAGGGTAGATATTTAACAAAAAAAGGTTTCTCACTTTCATAACATTAATAGAAATATAATATCATACTTTGATGATTTCATACCCGAAAGTTCAATGCAAAGCTACACTTTCAAAATATATGGGGGAATGTGTCCATGGGACACAGATGATGCCACCTATTGCATATGTTATAAAGGGACATAACTCAAGAACGGTAAAAGTGATGCTACCCAAATTCGCAATTGATCTGAGTTTTGTGGTAATAAGCATTGTGTATAAGTTTCATGACATTTGGTAGAGGCAAACTTAAGTTAGAGAACGGAAACAAAAAATTCAGCAATTTTTCCATTTGTGAAAGGGCACAACTCTAGGACGGTAAAAGTGACGCCACTGAAATTCAAACTTGATCTGTGTTTTGTGGTAATAAGCATTGTGTTTCAGTTTCATAACATTTGGTTGAGGCAAACTTAAGTTAGAGAACGGAAACCAATTTCAGGACGTACAGACAGATGTACATACAGACAAGGGTAAAACTTAATGCTCCCCTCGCTAAGGCAGGGGGCATAAAAATGATGTAGTGAAATGTTTCAATCTTCATACAAATAAATTTGAAACGAATGATTTTACTATCTCTGGTTTAACACAGGACATACACAGCAACAGTTCAAATAGATTTCTGAATTAATTTCTCTATAACAAGTTGAAGGTCAACAATATTAGAAGTGAAGGTCAATGATGTTAGAATTGAAAGTAAACAATGTTAGAATTGAAAGTAAACAATATTAGAAACATAACATTAACATCATACAACATATCTATAAACTTTTTAATTTGACCCTTTTTAACTCAAATGCAACTTTGCTTGAAACAGTACTAATAATTAACAAAAGAAAACACATTATATGTTAAATTAGAGTAATTCTGACACAAATATATGTAAGTCTTTGAGGTCAAGGTTGAAGTACGCATATTGAACTCTCTTACTCAGTCATACAAGTAATCATATAACATCTGAAAGATATTAGACCTTATTTCATAATCTATATTATACTTGTGACTTCACCTCAGCAGTTACTAAGTAACATGTTAAAACAAACTTTACTTTGATATGAAATATCACAATCATGACAATGTACCGTAGTTTCATTCATTTTTGTGAATACCATTTCTGGAGGATTGAAGACATTAAAAGGGGTATGATATGTGAAAGATTTTACTTTAAATAGGGAGCTATAGGAATAAAATTAGAACAAAACTTGTCTAAGATAAGCTTTGCCAGAGTCAACACCCTAGCTTTTGCAAGTTTCCAAAAACAGACAAAACTGCCAAGTAATAAGATTGTTTATAAGATTGTTCCATGTGACACAGCTGTAGAATGTTTATATGTAGTTGATATGTTGTTGTCACAAGTTTAGATGTTGAAATTGACACGATTGATGTTGTTATTACCGGTGTAGTTGATATATATGACACAAAAGATTTTTCATTCCTGGTGTAGATGTTGTAAATGACACAAATGATTAGTTGTTGCTACTGGTGTAGATTTTATACATGACACAATTGATTTGTCGTTCCTGGTGTAGATGTTTTATAAGACACAATTGATTTGTTGTTCCTGGAGTAGATGTTGTAAATGACACAGTTGATTTGTTGCTACTGATGTAGATTTTATACATGACAAAGTTGATTTGTTGTTGTTCCTGGTATAGATGTTGTTAATGACACAGCTGATTTGTTGTTGTTCCTGGTGTAGATGTTACATAAGACACAATTGATAAGTTTTTCCTAGTGTAGATGTTATAAATGACACAGTTGATTTGTTGTTGTTCCTAAATGAGTTATGGCAGATGAGATCACAGAGGTAATTTGCTGCTAAAACTACAGATGATGTACTGTTATACAGGTGTACTTCTTCCTGATTCTTCACAGCCATTACCTTCAAAGTATAAAAATAAACATGATGACATGGCATATAGGTACAAGATTTTCCTGTAATACAGATGTAATTCTTTGTAATTTTCTGTTATACTAGTCTACTTCATTCTGATTCTTCAGTCATTAGGCAAAACAGAATTATGTGAGTTAAGAGTTTCCTTCCTAAAAAATTATAGGGATGGTGGGTCAAGATTTGTTTTTAGTTACAGTCTGGAAAATATTGTGTTTTCACCAAGTCAGATTCTGGTAATATATATACCACTTATGGGAACTTCCACCATTTGACATTTCAATGGACAAAGTGACATATTCAATGTATTCTTAATGAATTCCTTTGCATATTTTGTTTTTTGTAAGTTTTTGTAGCCCATTATTACTCACTGGTTTTAAGTTTATCCATAGGTCCCCATATCCTTACAGTTCCATCATCTGAAGCACTAGCTAGCATTCCTGGAAGTTTAGAATTCCAATGAACACAATTAACAGTTCGTGAATGTCCTTCTAATGCAGATATAGGCATTTCACGTCTTAAATGCCAAATGTAAACTTTATGATCTGAAAAACACAAATGCAATTTATATAGGTTCAAATTACACGATAAACATCTTTTATACTGCAGATTGAACAGTTCCTATCGTTTTTATTTCCTAAATATAGTGGCAAAGTGTCACAATTAAGTGTTCATTCAGAGATAGAAAATAAGTTTTATTTTTGTGTTAAATCTTAAATGGATATTATTGTAACCTTTTATTACTGCTGTATAATACTAATTTTTTATCATATCGGAAAATATCCACCGTTTTGTACTCGACACCAACAGTAGGACTTGGTAAATCTTACAATCTTCTCTAGTTTCTAAGCCACATACAATTATTATTTTTCGGACACTGCCCAAATATTGTATAAGTATAAAGAACTTTCTGAAATTCTACATTTGAATTTCTTACACGTTCAATTGCAATCTATATTTATTTAATATACAGGAGTAAAAAAAACCTCTAAAGTTGCTTTTTAATCAGAACAGTTATAAACTTGTAAATCTTTATAATTTTCAATTTTATTCATATTCTTCAATTGCCTATGTTTAAACTTTGGTTCTGGAGTGACGATCTAATAATATTTCCTGGACAGATGATCCACAGAAGTCATTTAGTTTTTAACTTTTACTCCTAAATTATGTGATTTTCTTTTAAAGCCGCAAATACTGATTTGGGTCTGTACAGAACAAGACACTGAACTCATTAACCTGTTGAGCTCATGACAGTTATGTTACTACAAAATTACCCACTTACCTTCACTTCCACTAGCTACGAAATCTTGATTTAATCCTCCAAAGCAGGAATGTATTGTATAAAATCCTTGTGTCACTCCTTGGAATTTTCTTAATAAAAGTTTATCCTTAATATCCCATAAATGAACACCCTAAAATTAAAAAGCTTCTTTTCAAAACGGCATTATAACATTCAACTTCAGGAACTGCTAAAAAATATCATAAATATGCTGTGATCTAAGATTATTTAGAAAGAATGCACTAAACATGCTAAAAATATATAAGTACTGTTCCATAAAAACATGCATTGGACCAAGGGAAGGCATTTTGAAATTTCAACCCTTGGTGGGTGTTTTTGTACAGTTTAATTGTAAGGAAAATTCTAAAAGTGCCTCTACAGATGGTTATCCCATTTTCAAAGTGCCTTCCCTGTGTACACTGTATGTTTTAATGGAATAACACTAAATATATATACCTGAGGGTTTGGAGGGGGATCCCTCATTTCTTTATTCTTCAATATTTTAGATCATTTCTCTCTGTCCTTTATCTTTTTTGCTCATTATTATCTATTCTTTATATTTTAACACCCAATATTTTCTCATCTTTATTTTTTTCAGCCTATTTTTCTCATTCTTTTTTTTTTGCCCTTTATTCTCCACCTTTTGCCTATTGTTCTCTATTCTGTAAACCCCACCCAGACCTTCATACCGTAAATGACATTTATTTACTTATAATAAGAAGCCGTATAACAAAACAAAAATTAATACTATAAAAATACTTATTTTTAGATTTTAACTTTATCTCATATTTATACAGAAATCATAAAAATTTATGATTAAATTCAATACTGTTCTTTGTTCAAAATATTGTCAGATTCTTACAAATCTTGCCATTTTAATGACACAATTTTCTTATCGAAATATGAATTCTTCATTTACAATACATATATATACACTGTTATTAAACACAATAATATTCAATTTGTCAAAGTTGAAACTGGAGTAATGGTTTGTAAAATTGTAACATTTTTTTTACTCTTTCTCAAATTCAAAATATTACAGTCATGCAAAAAAAAACCCACTTGAAAACGGAAACAATTTACCTCTACTCTGAAAAGCTTAAAAGATATTTATATCCAGATAAAAAAATCCTTAAAATTAAATAGCAACAAAAAGTTCACGTATAAAATACAATCATTGGAAACAATTACTTTTCTTCAGTTTTTAGAATACAATTAAGAGAGAAAATGACAATTTTAAATTTAAATGAAATGTTTATCAACAGTTTGAATTTGAAAATATTTATGAAACTTCATGGTGGTAAAAAATATATATACATGAATAAAAATTATGATTACAATGAACTTTTGAAATTAAATGTTATGACAAACTTCACAATCTTAAAACTGTGAAATTCAGAGTTAAGATGCACATAATACACGGCACACAGCCTATATAACTATATTTCTAATAGCACCTTTTAATTTAAATCTTAAAATATTAAGTGGATTAAATTTTCCTGCATCAATTATCAAAATAACCCTTAACCTTGACAGCATATGAAGAGTGAACAGTTTCGTCAAATTTTCCAGTAACCCTGTAGAATGAGTACATACCTGGGTTGCTACATTTAACAGAGCTAATCGTCCTGATTCATTTAATGTGAAAGACATGATTGGCTGATCTTCCTGAATTCTGAAAAAAAACAAAAAAAAACAATATTAATATTACTATAAATTTTCATCAAATGTTAAAATATCATAGCATTTGAAAATGGAATATTTATTAACTACAATGAGCATAATCTAAAGTAAAAAATGTTAACTTAAAGTTGCAGTCAATGTTGTGCAAAGTATACACCTAATCACTTTAAAGATGAGGTGAATGGCCAGCAGATCTGAAAATCACGTACATTGACACCTAAACAAAATAAAATTGCAGACCAAATTTTAAATTATTCCTTAATACAGAAATTGATGACATTTTTGTGCACATATGATGTATTATTATGCAGTAATTTTATAGCAATAATGGTACATTGATTATTTAACATGGTAAGATTAATAGTGCATTGAGGAAATTCAGAGGAGTTTATATATCGTAAGAGGAAACACCCTGATTGAGCCGTAACAGCTGTAACTACACTTTACTTGGTGAACTTTCTGAGAGATAAAAAATTGATTTATTGTCAGAAATTTACGTTACATATTTTAGTGTACTTAAGATATTGTTGGTGTTCTTTTTTTTAATTTAATCATAAGTCATACTTGTATTTTAATAAAAGGGACAAAACCATAATCTTATACTGACCTGTTGGTCCATATGGTACCCCTTGTTGGTTTTTATATGGATTGGTAGCATTACTTTATGCAGATTGACATGTAACAAAACTGATATGAAATTACTTATAATGTAAATAAATGTGGATAGTGTCCACATGTGGACACAGATGATGCCCCCGCCTGCATATCATATAGTTATAAAGGGACATAACTGAAGAACAGTAAAAGTGACGCTACCCAAATTTGAACTTGATCTGAGTTTTGTGGTAATAAGCATTGTGTGTAAGTCTCATAACATTTGGTTGAGGCTAACTTAAGAAGAGAACAGAAACTAAAAATTCACCAATTTTTCTATTTGTAAACACACATAACTTTAGAACAGTTGTGTATAAGTTTTATAACATTTGGTTGAGACAAACTAAAGTGAGAGAACGGAAACGAAAAATTCAGCAATTTTTATGTTTATAAAGGGACATAACTCAAGAATGGTAAAAGTGTTGCCACCAAATTTCGTACTTAATCTGTATTATGTAGTAATAAGCATTGTGTATAAGTTTCATAATATTTGGTTGAGGCAAACTTTAAAGTTGAGAATGGAAACAAAAAAATTGTACTTGATCTTAGTTTTGTGGTAATGAATATTGTGTATAGGTTTCATAATGTTTGGTTGGGGCAAACTTAAGTTACAGAATGGAAACTAAAAATTTTGCAATCTTTCGATTTATAAAGGGGCATAACTCAATAATGGTAAAAGTGACACTACCCAAATTCAACTTGATCTGTGTTTTATCAGTGGAAGTCAAAATTAAACATTGCATTGTATAAAGCATTGATTGTAGTTGATTCAACTATAATCATGGACAAAGGAAGATAACTCCAATTTTAATAAAATGCTCCACAGGGCGCAGCTTGATACGACCGCAGAGGTCGAACCCTGAACAGTTGGGGCAAGTATGGATACAACATTCAAGCTTGATACAGCTTTGCATTTGGATTGTGATTAAATATTTGACACAGCATAGGTTTCTGACACAGAATGAATGTGGTCTAAGAACTTAAAAATTTTAAATTGGACATTCACCTATTATGGTCCAATATCCAAAATCTAAATACATGGTTAGATTCAGCATATCAAAGAACCCCAAGAATTCAATTTTTGATGAAATCAAACAAAGTTTAATTTTGGACCCTTTTGACCTCAATGTGGACAAAGTTGATAACGGGGCCCAAAAATCAAAAATCTAAATACATGGTTAGATTCAGCATATCAAAGAACCCCATATATTCACTTTTTGTTGAAATCAAACAAAGTTTAATTTTGGACCCCGATTTGGACCAACTTGAAAACTGGGCCCATAATCAAAAATCTAAATACATGTTTAGATTCAGCATATCAAAGAACCCTAAGAATTCAATTTTTGTTAAAATCAAACTAAGTTTAATTTTGGACCCTTTGGACATTAATGTAGACCAATTTGAAAACGGAACCAAAAATTAAGAATCTAAATACACGGTTAGATTCGGCATATCAAAGAACCCCAATAATTCAATTTTTGATGAAATCAAACAAAGTTTAATTTTGGACCCTTTGGACCTCAATGTGGACCAATTTAAAAACGGGGCCCAAAATCAAAAAACTGAATACACGGTTAGATTCAGCATATTAAAGAACCCCAAAATTTAAAGAATAAAACCCCATTGAAATTGGTCAAGAAATAAGCAATTTATACGAAGTATCTTCTTTTGCACAATACTGTGCAATTAAATATTTCTTGCTATTGTGCAATACTGTACAATTGACAATTTCTTGCTATTGCGCAATATTGTGCTATTTGATATTTCTTGCTATTGCGCAATACTGTGCAATTGAAGATTTCTTGCTATTGCGCAATACTGTGCAATTGAAGATTTCTTGCTATTGTGCAATACTGTGCAATTGAAAATTTCTTGCTATTGCACAATACTTATTATATAATAATTTACACATCCTGTTTGGTGTGTATCTCCTACCATATCATTATTATTTGCTTTTAAATATAAATCAGAAATAACCAACTTAAAATGGAAAATTTTAAAAGAAAAAAAAAAGGAAAAAAAGAAAAAAAGGAAAAAAAAAAAAAATCCCCCCCCCCAATTTTTTGAACCCCCTTATGATTCATCACCCCCAAACTTAATCCCAGCCTTCCCTTTGTGGTATGGTACCTTGCAGTACAATTTCAGAGAGATCCATACACTTGAACACAAGTTATTGTCTGGAAACTAAGAAAATGTGTTTTTTGGCCCCTTTTTGGCCCCAAATTCCTGAACGTTTAGGGCAATTACCCCCAAACTCAAACCCAGCCTTCCCTTTGTGATATGGAACCTTGTAGTACAATTTCAGAATGATCCATACACTTAAACACAAGTTATTGTCCTGAAACTAGAAAAATGCTTGTTTTTTGCCCCTTTTTGGCCCCTAATTCCTAAAATATTGAGGCAATTACCCCCATCATCAATCCCAGCATTCCCTTTGTGGTATGGTACATTGCAGTACAATTTCAGAGAGATCCATACACTTGAACACAAGTTATTGTCTGGAAACTAGAAAAATGCTTATTTTTTTGCCCCTTTTTGGCCCCCAATTCCTAAACGTTTCGGCAATTACCCCCAAACTCAATTCCAGCTTTCCCTTTGTGATATGGAACCTTGTAGTACAATTTCAGAAAGATCCATACACTTACACACAAGTTATTGTCATGAAACTAGAAAAATGCTTGTTTTTTGCCCCTTTTTTGGCCCCTAATTCCTAAAATTTTGAGGCAATTACCCCCAAAACCAATCCCAGCATTCCTTTTGTGATATGGAACCTTGTGGTACAATGTCAGAGAGATCCATACACTAACACACAAGTTATGTCTGGAAGTTACAACTAGAGGCTCTAAAGAGCCTGTGTCGCTCACCTTGGTCTATGTGCATATTAAACAAAGGACACAGATGGATTCATGACAAAATTGTGTTTTGGTGATGGTGATGTGTTTGTAGATCTTACTTTACTGAACATTCTTGCTGCTTACAATTATCTCTATCTATAATGATCTTGGCCCAGTAGTTACAGTGGAAAATATTTTGTAAAAATTTACAAAAATTTATGAAAATTATAAAAAATTGACTATAAAGGGCAATAACTCCTTAAGGGGTCAATTGACAATTTTGGTCATGTTGACTTATTTGTAGATCTTACTTTGCTGTACATTATTGCTGTTTACAGTTTATCTCTATCTATAATAATATTCAAGATAATAACCAAAAGCTGCAAAATTTTCCTAAAATTACCAATTCAGGGGCATCAACCCAACAACTTGTTGCCTGATTGGTCTGAAAATTTCAGGGCAGATAGATCTTGACCTAATGAACAATTTTATTCTTGTCAGATTTGCTCTAAATGCTTTGGTTTCAGAGATATGAGCCAAAAACTGCATTTTACCCTATGAACTATTTTTTAGCCATGTCGGCCATCTTGGTTCGCGGGCGGGTCATCGGACACATTTTTTAAACTAGATACCCTAATGATGATTGTGGACAAGTTTGGTTAAATTTGTCTAAGCAGTTTCAGAGGAGAAGATTTTTGTAAAAGATTACAAAAATTTACGAAAAATGGTTAAAAATTGACTATAAAGGGCAATAACTCCTTAAGGGGTCATCTGACCATTTTGGTCATGTTGACTTATTTGTAGATCTTACTTTGCTGAACATTATTGCTGTTTACAGTTTATCTCTTTCTATAATAATATTCAAGACAATAACCAATAAAATGCTCCGCTGGGGCGCAGCTTGATACGACCGCAGAGGTCGAACCCTGAACAGTTGGGGCAAGTATGGACACAACATTCAAGCTTGATACAGCACTGAATTTGGATTGTAATTAAATATTTGACACAGCATAGGTTTCTGACACAGAATGAAAGTGGTCTAAGAACTTAAAAATTTTCAATTTACCTATTCATACATGTGATGGACTGTGAAACTCAGATCAGGAGATTGGGAAATTTTGGTCAGGAGATTAGGACTCAGATCAGGAGGTTTTTAATCGACAGAAATTTTGTTGTAAATGTAACCGTGTGCTGTAAAAATGGTCTTTTAAAGTGTGTTTTCTTCAACTTTCCATCCAATTTATCATGTTTATAGTACCCTTGTACTTATAAAGTTTCTCCATCTTTATATTCTACATGTTCAATCTAACATTGTTTTTTTCCAGTATGTTCTTTAATTTTTTTACTTCATATTCGATAAAACAATCATTGCAACCAGAACATTTGTTTAGCTATCTGCAAATAGTTTTTATTTTTTCTCTTGCAAATAGTTTTTATTTGCAAACTCAGAAAATCATTCTATCTGTAAAATTAGGGTCATAGTTATTATATAAATTTCAATTTAAGCCTTGAAAGGAAGTATAGAATCCTCAAATAATTTTCAAATTATTATTTTTTTATTTGTCTTAAGACATTTAAAATCATTTAATAACCATCCTTTTATGATTATTTGTTCAATTTATATTTTATTTATATTCTTTTAAAAATTTTCATTATTAAAAGGAAAGTAACTTAAAACAGGATAAATCAAGGGAAGTAACCCAATAAATACACAGTTTTTGTTACACAACGGCAGTTAGCCTGAGGTAAAAATCGTTGATTACCAGTATGTTTGACACCCAAGCTGACAAGTGAAACCATATAATTATGCATGTTTATTGATTTACAGGTAAAATATAACTTCAGGTAATGTCAGTTACACCAGATGCCTGAGATGATATGTTGGTCAGAAATTTTTCATTCATGAAAAATTTCATACACGGGATTTTTTCCTCTTCAACGGGAGGTCGGGAGGAGACCCCTGAAAACGGGATTATTGTACTCCCGTCGGGAGGTTCACATGTATGCCTATTCAAACCATATCATTATTATTTGCTTTTATATATAAATCAGAAATAACCAATTTAAAATGGAAAATGTTAAAGAAAAAAAAGGAAAAAAAAAATCCCCCCCCAATTTTTTGAACCCCCTTATGATTCATCACCCCCAAACTCAATCCCAGCTTTCCCTTTGTGGTAAGGTACCTTGCAGTACAATTTCAGAGAGATTCATACACTTGAACACAAGTTATTGTCTGGAAACTAGAAAAATGCTTGTTTTTTGGCCCCTTTTTGGCCCCAAATTCCTAAACGTTTAGGGCAATTACCCCCAAACTCAATTCCAGCTTTCCCTTTGTGATATGGAACCTTGCAGTACAATTTCATAAAGATCCATACACTTACACACAAGTTATTGTCCTGAAACTAGAAAAATGCATGTTTTTTTTGCCCTTTTATGGCCCCTAATTACTAAAATTTTGAGGGAAAACCCCCAAAATCAATCCCAGCCTTCCCTTTGTGATATGGAACCTTGTAGTACAATTTCATAAAGATCCATACACTTACAAACAAGTTATTGTCATGAAACTAGAAAAATGCTTGTTTTTGCCCCTTTTTGGCCCCTAATTCCTAAAATTTGGAGGAAATTACCCCAAAAATCAATCCCAGTATTCCCTTTGTGATATGGAACCTTGTAGTACAATTTCATAAAGATCCATACACTTACAAACAAGTTATTGTCATGAAACTAGAAAAATGCTTGTTTTTTGCCCCTTTTTGGCCCCTAATTCCTAAAATTTGGAGGCAATTACCCCCAAAATCAATCCCAGCATTCCCTTTGTGATATGGAACCTTGTGTTACAATGTCAGAGAGATCCATACACTTACACACAAGTTATGTCTGGAAGTTACAAAAATGCTTATTTTTGGCCCCTTTTGGCCCCTAATTCCTTAACTGTTAGTACCATAACCCCCAAAATCAATCCCCACCTTCCTTTTGTGGTATTGAACCTTATGGTAAAATTTCATTGAGATCCATTCACTTAAACTAAAGTTAGAGTGCGAAAACTAATGTGTATTCGGACGACGACGCCGGACGACGACGACGACGACGACGACGACGACGACGACGACGACGACGCCAACGTCATACCAATATACGACCACAAAAATTTTTTTGCGGTCGTATAAAAACGGCAAAATTTCCTTAAAATTACCAATTCAGGGGCAGCAACCCAACAACGGGTTTTCAGATTCATCTGAAAATTTCAGGGCAGATAGATCTTGACCTGATAAACAATTTTACCCCATGTCAGATTTGCTCTAAATGCTTTGGTTTCAGAGATATAAGCCAAAATCTACATTTTACCCCTATGTTCTATTTTTAGCCATGGCGGCCATCTTGGTTAGTTGGCCGGGCCACCGGACACATTTTTTAAACTAGATACCCTATTGATGATTGTGGACAAGTTTGGTCAAATTTGGCCCAGTAGTTTCAGAGGAGAAGATTTTTGTAAAAGTTTACGGACGACGGGCGACGGACGCAGGACGACGGACGACGGACGCCAAGTGATGAGAAAAGCTCACTTGGCCCTTTGGGCCAGGTGAGCTAAAAATTGACTATAAAGGGCAATAACTCCTTAAGGAGTCAATTGACAATTTTGGTCATGTTGACTTATTTGTAGATCTTACTTTGCTGTACATTATTGCTGTTTACAGTTTATCTCTATCTATAATAATATTCAAGATAATAACCAAAAGCTGCAAAATTTTCCTAAAATTACCAATTCAGGGGCATCAACCCAACAACGTGTTGCCTGATTGGTCTGAAAATTTCAGGGCAGATAGATCTTGACCTAATGAACAATTTTATTCTTGTCAGATTTGCTCTAAATGCTTTGGTTTCAGAGATATGAGCCAAAAACTGCATTTTACCCTATGAACTATTTTTTAGCCATGTCGGCCATCTTGGTTCGCGGGCGGGTCATCGGACACATTTTTTAAACTAGATACCCTAATGATGATTGGGGACAAGTTTGGTTAAATTTGTCTTAGTAGTTTCAGAGGAGAAGATTTTTGTAAAAGATTACAAAAATTTACGAAAAATGGTTAAAAATTGACTATAAAGGGCAATAACTCCTTAAGGGGTCAACTGACCATTTTGGTCATGTTGACTTATTTGTAGATCTTACTTTGCTGAACATTATTGCTGTTTACAGTTTATCTCTTTCTATAATAATATTCAAGACAATAACCAAAAACGGCAAAATTTCCTTAAAATTACCAATTCAGGGGCAGCAACCCAACAACGGGTTTTCATATTCATCTGAAAATTTCAGGGCAGATAGATCTTGACCTGATAAACAATTTTACCCCATGTCAGATTTGCTCTAAATGCTTTGGTTTCAGAGATATAAGCCAAAATCTACATTTTACCCCTATGTTCTATTTTTAGCCATGGCGGCCATCTTGGTTAGTTGGCCGGGTCACCGGACACATTTTTTAAACTAGATACCCTATTGATGATTGTGGACAAGTTTGGTCAAATTTGGCCCAGTAGTTTCAGAGGAGAAGATTTTTGTAAAAGTTTACGGACGACGGACGCAGGACGACGGACGACGGACGCCAAGTGATGAGAAAAGCTCACTTGGCCCTTTGGGCCAGGTGAGCTAAAAATGCTTATTTTTGGCCCCTTTTTGGCCCCTAATTCCTTTACTGTTGGTACCATAACCCCCAAAATCAATCCCAACCTTCCTTTTGTGGTATTGAACCTTGTGGTAAAATTTCATAGAGATCCATTCACTTAAACTAAAGTTAGAGTGCGAAAACCGATGTGTCTTCGGACGACGCCAGACGACGACGATGACGACGACGCCAACGTCATACCAATATACGACCACAAAAATGTTTTTGCTGTCGTATAAAAATTACTTGATACAGTAGACTCCACCTAATCGGATATCGGCTAAACGAATATATCGGCTATTGTAATATTATTTCAAAACACCAAACCCTTCCCTATATGTTTAATGTTAATTTTATCGGGTAATCGAATATCGGATATAAGAATATATCGGCAAATCGGATAAGGATATTCAGGTCATTTTGTTCAAAACCATGCACAATCGGATATTTTCAATGTTTTTCTGACAGGAAATGGACCCGGAAGTTACGAATTTACAATCTTGCAGACAAGAAGATTTTGTTTTTACTAAATAAAAGGAACTATTTCTTAATAAATTGTTGTCTTTAATCATTGTCTTCCTTTGTAATGTGAATTAGATGCACTTTTACTTCAAATGGTTTGAATTTATTTATAAAATATGCAAGACTCAGTTGACAGGTTGACGTTGCTGTTTGGAGAATTTTGATTAAACTCTAAATGTTCACAGAATCAGAAATATAATCTAAACTGAATGTACCTCCTTCTGAATAATTTATTGCAATATAAACATAAATCCCTTTTGACAAGAGAAATCTGACTTTTGTCAGATATATTTTTTTCACATGTGCAAAAGTAACCACATGTCATGGATGCCATTTTGGATGTTTACAAATTTGTGAGGAAGCCTCTAGAACTATGACCTAAATATAAATAGTCTTCAGAAAACGTAAACTTTATGCAATAATATTTTATCAATCATGATTATTTTCATAAATTTAAATTTGATTATTTAAAGAAATAAAATTATAACAAATACGATTTTAGTTTGGAGATTCTACACAGACATGCTTAGATCTATTTATATCCTAATTAGTTTACCTGTGTGATAATGTAAATAATGGATATTAATTTGCTTACAAAACAAATAAAGACAAACTATGGATGGTAGATAATAATTCACATAAATATTTCAGGACATTTGATAAATAAAGGATTTAAAAACTGCAAACAAATTTAATCATTACATAATCAGCTGATAATTTTTTTACACAAACATCGTGGTGATGTAACTGATAAAAATCACTCCATCAATCCTCCAGCCCTTTCACATATTTAGCAATTGTCAGGGTTAGTAACATCTCAGGATTATATCTACTCATTATTGCAGAATATTCAATGAATATACATTCATCATCTAATTGAATATATCGGGTAATCGGATATTTTTAGCTGACATTTTGGGTTTCCAATTTGCCGGAGTCTACTGTATATAGAAGAAAATAAAAATTTTGCAATTTTTCCATTTATAAAGGGGCATAACTCTAGAACAGTTGAAGTGACGCCACCAAAATTCAAATTTTATCTATGTTTTGTGGTAATAAGCATTGTGTATAAGTTTCATAACATTTGGTTGAGGCAAACTCAAGTTAGAGAACAGAAACCAATTTTGGGACGTACATACGTACAGACGGACAAGGGTAAAACTTAATGCCCCCACTGCTACAGCGGGGGCATAAAAAACAAAAGCATAGATGCCAACCCCTTTGTGGTACAATCAGTAAACAAAATTTGAGATTTCAGTAATTTGTGATTTTTTTCAGTAATCACAGTAATTCATTTTTTTTTTTTACCATAATCATACTATAAACAATTAGATGCAAAGTGATGGGCAAATTATTTCCTTTATTTTTGACAACTTGATGCAAAGTTGATGAGCAAGTGAGGACTAAAGACTTGTAATAAAAAGTTGGCTATTTTAATACCTGTTTATTTAACAAATGTAAATTAATTGTTTCAACTTACTGTCAATAAAATTATTTCCTGAAATGTCCCTCCATCTCCCTCCCATATTATAACTAAAGTCTAATTCAGGAATGCCTGGTATGTTGCTGACTTAGCACTTTTCAATTGTTTATTTGTATATGTGTGTCGTAGCACTTTTTGTTGGTAGAGGTCATGAATGTTTTCAGAACCATTATTGAAGACAAAGTTGAAACAGAAAGATTTGGACGTGTGCACGTGTCAGTTCTGTTCTTCCTGACCTGACTAAATTGATTTTATAAGACAAGGAAACTCAATGGAATATTCAGGACGAAAATGTTGTCCCAATTTTCTTTTCTTTGCTGCAGAAGCGCTTGTTCCTGCTGATGACATTGTGAAATTGAAAAGCAAATACAGGGGAATATAAGTAAGGGAAAAGGACTCATTTCAAATGCGTTCATCATTTATTCGGAATCTAACAAGAAATGGATAAATCGTACTTAACATATAGAAAGTCCTGAGAAACCTGAAAGTGTTTTTATATTCTGAATCACTCAAACGCTTACACTTCCACGATAATTAACTACAATCAAGCGTCAAAATGATTACAACATTATCTAAACGACAAAAAAAGTTGAGGACCGGAAATGAACGGAAATCTGTAAAAAGTAGACTGTTGCCGTAACACCGTAATTTCGGCTAAAAATTGTAAAAATTACAGACAAACCGTAATGGTTGGCATCTATGTAAAAGAATGTGACTGAGGACACAAATGCCCCTGCTCAAGCTTTGCAATTTTCAATGTTAAAAAGGGGCATAACTCTAGGACGGTAAATGACTCACAACCCAAATTTGAACTCTGTCTGCGTGTTGTGGTTCTTAGCATTGTGTATGAGTTTCATAAAATTTGCATGAGGCAAACTAAAGTTAGAGTGCGAAAACAGAAATGGGATGGACGGATGGAAAGACGATTAAGGGCAACACTTAATGTCCCCGTTGCCTATGACAGGGGCATAAAAATATGATGGATGTATACTTAATATCTTCCTAGAAATATCTGCTTACATGTTAAAGTCTGTTAACTCATCAAAGTTATATCCCCTAATTCTATGGTGGGTATCAGCAGCTAATACATATTTCCCATCCACCTGAAACGCCATACTTTGTACACGTACACCCTCCCAGGAATCCATAATGTTTCCATCTAAATCCTGAAATAAATAAATACATCAGGGAAATTTATTCTCTTATATCTAAAAAAAATAAAAGCCATCTTTTACCTGATATAAATACTGTAAATTCATAAATTTTTGCGATGTTTTTATTATTTCAAAAATTGTGAATCATCAAATAAATAAAATAACATATATAAAAAATTCTCTTTAAACACTTCATGAAACAAATTCCCTTTTCTAACATGCTTCAAGCAATCCTTAATGTTTCAATCTTAGTCCTTAGATTAATATACAAATTACACCACGAAAGATTTATCCTAATTTCTTGCAAGAGCACCACACTGTTTTGATAACAGTTCATTGTTAATCTTACACATTGATAAAACTGTCCTCTAATTCCACCTGTCACAAACTTTTTCCCATCAGCATGCCATGCTGCAGTAGTTAAACTATCTTCTTGAGACTGACTCATTTTAAAGCGTAAAGTTCCAGTCTGAAATGTAATAAAGTATTTAAAAATTGTTTTTCTTGTTCTTTAAAAAATATTTCTCGTTAAAAATACAAACTTTTCTCTCTTTCTTGTATGTAAACAATGTGTTATCATAGTTTTGATGAATCAGATCACAATCTAGTCATTCAATTTTTGATTCATGTATTTTAAAAAGTATTAATCCACTGTCTTGATCAAGATCCGAGTATTATTTTTGAACAATTATTCAACAGTATATCATCATCCCTGGTCTTCTCCCATCTGGCAATAACCCTAATGATAATGAGAGGTGTGTAACGGCTTTGCAAATGTGTAAATATTCAGCCACACCCAGTTAGAATGTGGACATTAAATCTAATGTCCACATTCTCTTGAGTGTTAAAGAATCCTCGCGACAACTCTGAGGAGTCTCTAGGCAACCTGTTACAATGCAATAGTATTACCCTCTAAAACTACCATATTATTATTAACCTCATTTTCAAGTGGCAGTTAAAATTCCAAACCTTCATCCTAGTTTACCAACATCACAGAACCTGCCTTTGTGATTTCTGGTTAATGATTATACTTGCAATATTAGTTCCTAAATGTTAAGCAAACAACATTCAATCTATCAAGAAAAAATAATGTCATTAAATGTCATAAAAAATAAAAATTAATTATTGGAAAATTGCAAAGGGATAAGTTTCACAAAACTTAAATTCACTTACAATATCGTCTAATTAGGAAAAGGCTTTAATTTTGAAAAGACATCAACACAATAGTTTAAGTAAGAGACACAAAATATAAGCGTTGATTCATGAAAAACAAACCAATCGCCCTCCAGGCTCATGGTTTCTTTTTCAAGAATCAATGCTTATCCATTGTATCTATAATACTTAATTTTGATACCATTATTTGATAACATTATTTCCCTAAATTGCAATAATAAATTTCGCAATAATAAATACATGCGAAAATTTCTGAAGTTACAGTACCTCTATATTCCACATCCAGAGATCTGAGCAGTCGTCAGGGCCACATGCCACTATATGTGTACTATCAGGACTCCAGGCAATGAATGAAACACCATAAGCATGATTCTCAAATGATCGTCTGTGTTTAAGTTCATATGTCACCTGAAAAAAAAAGAAGTTTAAGATCTGTAATTCACTGTTTTTGTTTAAAAATATCATGCATAGTAAAAAAGATTTAAGATGCAACATTAATACATGAACAATGCATTGCGTCTTTCTACAGAATAATGTAGAAGATTGATACCAGCTCAACTCCAAGAGCACAGATCAAAAGAGTTCAGAGTCTCTAAAGTTCCAGCAGTTGCTGTCAACCTAATGTTACATATTTTCCATTTCAAGTCTAGTTGAGTTGTATAAACTTTTTTCTGAAATCTCTTGAACTTTGTTTACATAAGGAGAACTTATTTTTCCACTTTGCTTGAATGAAAAATATGGTCATTTAATTAACTTATTTTAATATGAAAGGTCATGCATTTGACAGTACGACTTCACATTATCACAGTAGACAGATTACCTAGGCTGCATTTGACAGTACAGCTTCACATAGTCAGAGTAGACAGATTACCTAGGATGTATTAGACAGTACGACTTCACATAGTCAGAGTAGACAGATTACCTAGGATGCATTTGACAGTACGACTTCACATTATCACAGTAGACAGATTACCTAGGCTGCATTTGACAGTACAGCTTTACATAGTTAGAGTAGACAGATTACCTAGGATGCATTTGACAGTACGACTTCACATAGTCAGAGTAGACAGATTACCTAGGATGCATTTGACAGTACGACTTCACATAGTCAGAGTAGACAGATTACCTAGGTTGCATTTGACAGTACAGCTTTACATAGTCAGAGTAGACAGATTACCTAGGATGCATTTGACAGTACGACTTCACATAGTCAGAGTAGACAGATTACCTAGGATGCATTTAACAGTACAGCTTCACATAATCAGAGTAGACAGATTACCTAGGATGCATTTGACAGTACGACTTCACATAGTCAGAGTAGACAGATTACCTAGGATGCATTTAACAGTACAGCTTCACATAATCAGAGTAGACAGATTACCTAGGATGCATTTAACTACCATTCCTACTCCCTTATTAGTCTGAAAATTGGGAGTAAAATTCATAATCCAGAGAGGGGGACCGACTAATAGACGAGATCTAGCGACCAGAGGAAAAATCCAAGCTTGAGAAAAGTGGTCAGGAATGAATTTCCTGGTCAAAACTACGTTTTTGATTGCCAAACCTACATAAATCAATAAATAAAAAGTTTTTGTTGAAAATAAATTACTACAATACTGTATTTGTGTTTTATTTGTTCTTTGGTAAACATTTTCTGCAAATTCGTGTTTAAATTCTACTGTTTCCGGTTTGTGTATTGATTTTCATGGTCACATGGTTTTCCTATAAACCCAAAAGAAGAGCCAAGAACCAAAAATGAAAAGGAGATAACAATGTACCAAATATGTGAAAGGATGTTTTCAGCGGAGTTATTGTGTCATTATTGTGATATCATGATATCAATTCAATGCTTATAAATCATATAATAATCAAAAAATAATTTTAAGATTCATTCCCAAAATCAAAATATTATTCATTAAAGTGTCTCAGGTAAACAAAAATTACAAAATTGATTGACAAGCCAATATAATCCATTGATAACCCCAATTAAGAGACAAAGAGTTGTATTCACTAAAGGTGTGAAAACTTTCAGTGATAGGTAAACAGATGACACTAATGAGTTGGAGTTAGTTATTTTAATATATTGATTAGCTTCACTTAATTTTTTTAATCCTTTAATCATCACAATATAATAAGAATTATGAAGTGTACATGCTCATTTAACACCGAGTTATGTATGCTGTGAAAAATATTTTCATCAAGTGTTGATTGACTTTAAATTTTTCAGGTTCATATTGGTTTATATTCGCTTTTCTCAAACAATAGGTTGTTAGTCATACCCTACAAAATCATTGATGCATTACGTAAACAACACATGGCTAATCAAACATTTGAACAGTGAACAAAACAAAAGAAATGAATACATCTTTATTATTAACAGCAATATAAATTATCATGATGAGCATCAACTCAATTCAAACCAAACAAACATTAATGCAGAAATGAATATTATTCCTGGATTTGCATTGGTTTTACCGGCGTTCAGTTACTGTCAGCTGAAGAAAAAAAAATGCCCAAATTTTGTCCGACTTATACAAGGGTCAAGACTAAATCCTTAGAATTTGGAGCTGAAAAGGGCACCCGACTTATAGTAGGATCGACTATTAGGCGAGTTTCTACGGTAAACCTGTCTGAAGTTCTATCTTAAATAATTATGTTTTTGGTTTGATTTTTTGTCCAGTTTGTTTTTGTAGCTTTCTATGGGGCCTCCTAAGGGGTTTCATATAGTGTAACTTTAATAAAATGCTCCGCTGGGCGCAGCTTGATACGACCGCAGAGGTCGAACCCTGAACAGTTGTGGCAAGTATAGACACAACATTCAAGCTTGATACAGCACTGAATTTGGATTGTGATTAAATATTTGACACAGCATAGGTTTCTGACACAGAATGAATGTGGTCTAAGAACTTAAATATTTTAATTTACCTTTTCAAACTATATCATTATTATTTGCTTTTATATATAAATCAGATATAACCAATTTAAAATGGAAAATTTTAAAGAAAAAAAAAATCTCTCCCCCAAATTTTTTGAACCTCCTTATGATTCATCACCCCCAAACTCAATTCCAGCCTTCCCTTTGTGGTATGGAACCTTGTAGTTCAATTTCAGAAAGATCCATACACTAACACACAAGTTATTGTCATGAAACTAGAAAAATGCTTGTTTTTTGCCCCTAATTCCTAAAATTTTGAGGCAATTACCCCCAAAATCAATCCCAGCATTCCCTTTGTGATATGGAACCGTGTGGTACAATGTCAGAGAGATCCATACACTAACACACAAGTTAAGTCTGGAAGTTACAAAAATGCTTATTTTTGGCCCCTAATTTCTTAACTGTTGATACCATAACCCCCAAAATCAATCCCAACCTTCCTTTTGTGGTATTGAACCTTATGGTAAAATTTCATAGAGATCCATTCACTTAAACTAAAGTAAGAGTGCGAAAACCAATGTGTCTTCGGACGACGACAACACCAACGTCATACCAATATACGACCGCAAATTTTTTTTGCGGTCGTATAATAAAAATTGTTAATGATTATCCAGATTGATTTAGTGGGTTTTTTTTGTGTTTTTTTTCCCAATAGCGAGTCTATATTTATATGGTAAAAAATGTTCACTTGGCTCAATTTTTTGGGACCCCTAAAACTCATATCATTTCAGGTTTATACTACATTCTAATCATAAATGTAGTTTTTACCATGTCTATCTCCCATATGATCAAGGAACCATCTTTTGATCCTGTGGCTAATTTGGTGCCATCTGGTGAGAAACGACAGAACCAAACTTCATCACAGTGGTCTGTTAATATCTGTATTGTGGTGGACGGAAACTGTTCTCTGTAAATATAAGATGAAAAACATAGTCAAATCTTAATGAATACACATCAAACAGTAAGATATAAGAGATAAATTTGATGTCTGACTCAGTATCTTGATAAATAAAGGTACAACTTGGTCTATGCTTGTGACTAAAATAAAATGCAAAAAAATCTGGATTATATTGCAGTTTTGTTGATTTTTATGTTTGACCATTTTGATCATGTATTTGAATAAGCTAACAAACCATTCATACTTGGTCTAACAAACTGAAAGTTTATGCACTAGGTACACACTCAATTACTTTAGCTGTAAAACCAAACCAAATTATTCAAATCAACCTATTATTACGAACCAAATGAAACTCTTCGACAGAGTCATCTCCTTTTGGTCAAGGTACTTAAACTTTTATCAGTTCAATTGTCTCATTGAATAAATACAATAGCTATTGTTCTCTGTGTAGTTTATTCACTTAGACCTTTAAATTTCTTCTATTAAAGAGAAATTCATCACTCATTAATTTATCTGAAGCAAAAAATAACTTCTAAGTAGATGAAAATACCAATATCAAATAATATATTTTCAATCTGTTCAATGTAAACACTGATTCAAACATTAAAAGTTGATTTCTGATAAAAAAAATTTAACATTGTTCCAATTGAAATTTTGTTTTTTGTGTGTATGACAAATAAATACTGGAAAATTATGATTTTTTAGTTAAGGCCTTCATAAATGTATTCTATAACTAAACAAACACAAAAAAAAAATGCAAAATTCAATAGGAACAATGCTAAAAAATTTGTCAGAAATCATTTTTTTTTATTAAATCAGTGAATACCTTGGCCAAGAGGGAATGACTCTATGGAAGAGTTTCACTTGCTTTGCAATGAAATCAATATCAACATGAATCCAGATAAATGGTGCTCTTTTTACAAAAAATTTTATGACTAAAACTGATCTCAAGTCATGAACAAATAAATATACTTACGACCAATTTAAGTCCTAAGTTTTTTTTTGAAACGCTGGCCTGTTTACAGAGATTCTACTATTAAAGACATGCCAGTTTTCAGAGATTCTACCATTAAAGACAATTACCTGCTACAAACATGGTCAATGAGCAATGATACAGCGTCCAGATTGTTGTCAATCTTGGTATTGTGATATGGACATTTATCTTTCTGTAGCTCTACCGCCTGGTTTAGTAATGTCAGCAACCGTCGAGGTGGCAACATCACTGTTGGTGGTAAGAAGGCTATAAAAATTTAAAAGTGTGTTTAGAATAGAGAATGGAAACTGGGAATGTGTCAAACAGACAACAACTCGACCAAAAAGCTGAAGAGAGTCCAAAGTCACCAATTGGTCTTCAACGCAGCAAGAAGATCCTGCACTGGGGACCATTGTACATTTGAATAAGGTCAAAACTTTTGTCAACTAAGATACTTTTACATGCTAAGCCTACACTACCAAAAACTCTCTTAATGGAGTTCTCACTCGTAAATTAAAAGTTGTAGAATTCTATGAAATGGATTTTGGGTAAAATTCAGCAAACAATGAGGTCAGTGTCACATGGATTGGAGGTTGGGAAAATGTATATGGTACACGTATGTAAAATAGATGTAATACACAAACTGAGGATTGCAATTTTTCTGTATAAAAAAGACTGGATCAGGATGGAATTTTATTTGTTAAATTGTCCTGTGAAGCTGAGCTATTTCAGAGAGAAAAGCAGATGAAGAAATCAATTGTTTTCAAATTATAACACCATAAGCACAAAAAGTCAATAATTGCCTTCCAAGAGAAATTTGGAATAGGTTTCATAGGAAGCTGTTAATTTGAGAATTGGGTTTCATTGCTAGACATTCTTCTTTTCCCAAACAGCAAAATGACAATTCAAATTCATAGATTGCATTCATAAAACATACTATTCAAGAACATTATAATAATGAATAAAGAAAGTTATATTACTGTAACAACATGTAATCATTGTACTTACATTGTAATCTTTCTATCAACAAAGATCTAGAATCTATTCCTTTACCAGTCCAATTGGCAGTCTTCCGTAAATCTTCAGCATTACAACACATCATATATCTGTCAAAAGATTTCAGGGGAGTAATAGTTAAATATACATGTACCTTTCTTCTATCAATTTAAAGAAATTGCAAAGAAAGTAGATAAATTTAGTGTATTAATTAAGGACACAAGATCCCTACAAGTACTTGATTGTACAAAGCCAAAGAAAAGGAACAGCAGATTTATTGCTGTTCTTCATCTCAAAGTCACAGTGATGCCTTTAAAACACAAAACCAAAAGATCAAAAATACATCATCACAGGTTCAAGACAGGATCTGGCACCTTATTGAAGTGTTTGTTAATACTTCTCAAAAACTAACGATTGATAGCAAACATTGATGTGATCAATAAATATGTTGATTTAAAAACAAAAATTTATGGTACCGTATATTGAGCTGTTGGATTGCTGTTTCATTGACTTGTAATCCAAGTCTTTTATTCAGATGTACTTGACAGCGGGAAAGCGATTTCCTCACCCTAGTAGCCCAGTAGCATGAGCCTTGTTTCTCATTAGGTGACTCATGTATATTCAGAATAAGTGTGACACTATGCAAATTTCAAGAGGACATAACTCCAATATCACCCCTATGTAACTATGATGTACAAATCCACTCATTAAATATCTTGGAGTGACTACTCAAAATACTAGTTAAATCCTGTCACTATTCCATGTGCCTGACCCTAGTAACGAACCTCGTCTCCGGTTGTTCTGTTTTTAAACTAAATAATTTAATTTTGGATGTATCACGTCTTCTGATTGGCTGAAAGTTTTTAGTCTATCAGCTCATAGACATAATTTTGTCATGTGACCGTGACGTCATCAACATTTTTTCCATGATTCACTCCTTAAAAAGGGAATTTGAAATTAAACTATAAGGAATGACTAATATTATTTCTGTCTATTCAAAATAACCCCAACTATATGGTGCACACTTTTAAATAACCCGCTACACAGGTTATTCGGTGTTCACCACATTTTTGATGTTATTTCTTCAAAGACAGAAAAAATAATATAACAGTCATTCCTTATATATTTTTTGTCCTTTGGAATTGGTGAAGAGGCAGATTACTTAGTCTGTTAAATCTATTTACAAATTGGGTAAGACTATGGTACATTTGTAATTTAGTGCTCAACATGTCACATGGTATAGATAATTGTCTATTGTTGACCTCTAAATGTCTTTTCTGGTTTTATTGTACAAGTGTTTGGGTTGCTGTTTCAATGATGCATATCAATTCCCATTTACAAATTATGTCTGGAACAATTACTTAAAGATCAGATCTAAGACAATTACTTACGAGCTAAGTTCATGAACTCTTTCTGTGTTGTATTTCATGGGTGTCAGTTCATGTCTGAGACAATGTAGAGCCTCCATCTCACGTCCATCTTCTAGAAGCTCCAAATACTTTTGTTCTAGTATCATGAACTTCATTTTCTATAAAAAAAAATTTACGCATGAATATTTCAAAATAAAAATTTCAAACTATAAAAACTCATAAAAAATCCCAGGCTTATAATTTTGTATGTTAAAATAAACTGCTTTGCCATCCAACAGCACATTACATGTATACTGCAACCATGCAAATTTAGCAGTCAAATTGTATTGATTCTTTAATACTTTATGTGCAGTCTCTGACAATATAAAGTCTTTTCTGTAACATTAATAATGTGTTTCTCATGAATTTTATCCATGATGATGCATGGGATTATACGTTCAGATTTTCTTGTCATCCACTTCATGCTATAATAAAATGCTCCGCTGGGGCGCAGCTTGATACGACCGCAGAGGTTGAACCCTGAACAGTTGGGGCAAGTATGGACACAACATTCATGCTTGATACAGCACCGAATTTGGATTGTAATTAAATATTTGACACAGCATAGGTTTCTGACACAGAATGAATGTGGTCTAAGAACTTAAAAATTTTTAATTTACCTTTTCAAACCATATCATTATTATTTGCTTTTATATATAAATCAGAAATAACCAATTTAATATGGAAAATTTTGAAGAAGAAAAAGGAAAAAAAAATCCCCCCCAAATTTTTTGAACCCCCTTATGATTCATCACCCCCAAACTCAATCCCAGCCTTCCCTTTGTGGTATGGTACCTTGCAGTACAATTTCAGAGAGATCCATACACTTGAACACAAGTTATTGTCTGGAAACTAGAAAAATGCTTGTTTTTTGGCCCCTTTTTGGCCCCAAATTCCTAAACATTTAGGGCAATTACCACCAAACTCAAACCCAGCTTTCCCTTTGTGATATGGAACCTTGTAGTACAATTTCATAAAGATCCATACACTTACACACAAGTTATTGTCCTGAAACTAGAAAAATGCTTGTTTTTTTGCCCCTTTACGGCCCCTAATTCCTAAAATTTTGAGGCAATTACCCCAAAATCAATCCCAGCCTTCCCTTTGTGGTATGGTACCTTGCAGCACAATTTCAGAGAGATCCAAACACTTGAACACAAGATCTTGTCTGGAAACTAGAAAAATGCTTATTTTTGGCCCCTAATTCCTAAACGTTTTGGGCAATTACCCCCAAACTCAATTCCAGCTTTCCCTTTGTGATATGGAACCTTGTAGTACAATTTCATAAAGATCCATACACTTACACACAAGTTATTGTCATGAAACTAGAAAAATGCTTGTTTTTGCCCCTTTTTGGCCCCTTATTCCTTAAATTTGGAGGCAACTACCCCGAAAATCAATACCAGCTTTCCCTTTGTGATATGGAACCTTGTGGTACAATGTCAGAGAGATCCATACACTTACACACAAGTTATTGTCATGAAACTAGAAAAATGTTTGTTTTTTGCCCCTTTTTGGCCCCTAATTCCTAAAATTTGGAGGCAATTACCCCCAAACTCAATTCCAGCATTCCCTTTGTGATATGGAACCTTGTGGTACAATGTCAGAGAGATTCATACACTAACACACAAGTTATGTCTGAAAGTTACAAAAATGCTTATTTTTGGCCCCTAATTCCTCAACTGTTGGTACCATAACCCCCAAAATCAATCCCCACCTTCCTTTTGTGGTATTGAACCTTATGGTAAAATTTCATAGAGATCCATTCACTTAAACTTTAGTTAGAGTGCGAAAACCAATGTGTCTTCGGACGACGACGACGCTGACGACGCCAACATCATACCAATATACGACCGCAAAATAATAAGCATATACTGTAAATTCAGAAATTATTGCACAGTTTTTATTAATGAGAAAAATGATTAGAACTCGCATTCAGATAACTGATACATACATCTGTATGAAGATGTTTCTGAAATCGCAATAATAAATCACACTTTTTTGTCCATTCTTCAAAAATCGCAATAATAAATGCACACAATAATTTTAGTATTTACAGTAATTCAAAAAAAATATTATCTTCTCATTAGTTTAAAGGTTTGCAGTATGAAGGGAAAAAAGACATTGTTTCGGACACAATTCATTTGCACTCAGAATGAAACAAGACAGAAATTCTAAGCTAGACTCATGTTTCTACCTATTTCTAAGCCTAGTACAAACTTCTTTTATAGTCGAGGACAATGCAGGGCTACTCCAACTATATGCAGCATCATCCAAATTCAGATTTGTTAAATACAGGCAATACAAAAATGTTACAAATATTTTTCAGTATTATCTAAAACCTTAAAATTAAACTGTAAGAAGAAGCACTGATGTTTATAAGTACCACATAATATATATAGCCTTTTATAGCTGACTATAAGGTATGGGTTTTTCTCATTGTTGAAGGCCATACAGTTGTCTATTATTGCTTACATCCACTTCATTTGAACTTTGGTGGATAAATGTCTCATTGGCAATCATACCACATCTCCTTATTTTTATATGTATCCTTAGAAGAAATGCTCTTGTCAAGGCTTTTAGCAGCATACCACATCTCCTTGTATTTACATTCATGTAAATTTATAACAGTCAAGTCTAATACTTACAATAAGTCCATGTGAAGATTCTATCAGAGATTTCAAGTCCTCCAGGTCAGATTCAGCCTAAAATATCAAAACAAATTTTAATGCAACCTTCTTCATATAAAATCAATTTTGTATTTTTTTCATCCCATCATGAATAAATGAGATCAAAATTTATTAACATGTGATGTTTACCTTATTATGATTATTTATCTGAAGAGAAAAGTTTTGCTGGTGATGATCTAAATAAAGGACACAAGGAAAACCTTAGTATGCTTGTAAACTGTTTGATAATAAATACTTTTTGTACTTATCTTCCTTTAACTGCACATGCCCATTAAGCAAACAATTAATCAATCATTTAACTGATAAGCAAACTAACTAGACACAGGACTGCCTCTGTAATTTCATTACCATCTAGAGTGTGCAGGAAACTGGTTTGATCCTTGGCCTTGTCATTCCATATTATCACCTAGTGTGTGCAGGGAACTGGTTTGATCCTTGACCTTGTCATACCAAAGACCTTAAAATTGGTATTAAAAGCTTCTCTGCTTGCTAGTCTAGATTATAGAAGCCACTTCTTTAAAAGTAGATAATGATGCTTGGCATGCAGCATTAAGGAGTGAGGGCAAAGACAGAGAGATTTATTTGAGTCAGATATGACTATGTCAGATGAAATGTCTTCATGCTGACCATTACTATGTGAGCTAGCTAATTATTTATCTTGACATCTTGCCAAGTTCTTCAGCAAATTAAAGCATGGTTTATTTTCACATAACCATAATATGTTCTCATCATAATTGTACTTTATTGTTGAAAAATTATCAGCTGTTCAAAGTTCCATTCATCAATTAATTCAATATCTAATGAATCATAATGTCATCTAAAAATACTACATCGTATTTGTCAGAATGCAGTCATTATAATTGCACTCTTACAAATGTAACTCATCTGATGCAGTATTTTATAAATTGAACCCACCTTAACCCATTCACCATCCATGACATGAGACCGGAGTCTGGCAGCAGCTGGATGCTCCAACATACATCCTGATTCTTTGATCAATTGTTCAGCTGTTTGGCTAAAATGGAGATCATAACATCAATTTATAATGGGGAGAGATATCTGTCACATTCAGTTATCATGTTTTTTGTAAAAGCATATCATTGCATGTACACAAAATGTACTAACAGCAACTAAACAATAATAAAATAAATGTGGATAGTGTCCACATGAGGACACAGATGATGCCCCCGCTTGCATATCATATAGTTATAAAGGGACATAACTGAAGAACGGTAAAAGTGACGCTACCCAAATTTGAACTTGATCTAAGTTTTGTGGTAATAAGCATTGTGTGTAAGTCTCATAACATTTGGTCGAGGCTAACTGAAGTAGAGAACAGAAACTAAAAATTCAGCAATTTTTCTATTTGTAAACACGCATAACTCTAGAACGGTTGTTTATGAGTTTTATAACATTTGGTTGAGACAAACTAAAGTTAGAGAACGGAAACGAAAAATTAAGCAATTCTTATGTTTATAAAGGGACATAACTCAAGAATGGTAAAAGTGTCGCCACCAAAATTCGTACTTAATCTGTATTATGTAGTAATAACATTGTGTATAAGTTTCATAACATTTGGTTGAGGCAAACTAAAGTTAGAAAACGGAAACAAAAAATTTTTACTTGATCTTAGTTTTGTCGTAATGAATATTGTGTATAGGTTTCATAATGTTTGGTTGAACTTGGGGCAAACTTAAGTTACAGAATGGAAACTAAAAATTTTGCAATCTTTCGATTTATAAAGGGGCATAACTCAATAATGGCTCAAGTGACACTACCCAAATTCAACTTGATCTGTGTTTTATCAGTGGAAGTCAAAATTAAACATTGCATTGTATAAAGCATTGATTGTAGTTGATTCAACTATAATCATGGACAAAGGAAGATAACTCCAATTTTAAAAATAACTTGATATTTAGAAGAAAATAAAAATTTTGCAATTTTTCCATTTATAAAGGGGCATAACTCTAGAACGGTTAAAGTGACGCCACCAAAATTCAAACTTGATCTGTGTTTTGTGGTGATAAGCATTGTGTATAAGTTTCATAACATTTAGTTGAGGCAAACTAAAGTTAGAGAACGGAAACAAAAAATTCACCAATTTTTCCATTTGTAAAGGGGCATAACTCTAGAACTGTAAAAGTAACGCCACCAAAATTCAAAAGGTGATCTGTGTTTTGTGGTAATAAGCATTGTGTATAAGTTTCATAACATTTGGTTGAGGCAAACTAAAGTTAGAGAATGGAAACGATAAATTCAGCAATTTTCCATTTGTAAAGGGGCATAACTCTAGAATGGTAAAAGTGACGCCACCAAAATTCAAACTTGATCTGTGTTTTGTGGTAATAAGCATTGTGTATAAGTTTCATAACATTTGGTTGAGGAAAACTAAAGTTAGAGAACGGAAACCAATTTTGGGACGTACATACGTACCAACGGACAAGGGTAAAACTTAATGCCCCCTCCGCTACGGCGGGGGCATAATTAACTTAGCATATATATTTATGTAAAGAATTTCCAAAAATCAGTCATGTATTTTTAGTTCTAGTATAGTTAACTTGGGGAACGCTGTTCAGTTAAAAACAAGTCAGTAGAAATCTGCACTGAGTATAATATTTATAGATTATTACATGGCATTTTCCATATCCGCCCAGACTCCCATAAAGGTTCTATTATGGGGTGACGGATGATATTAAGGCTGATATGAAGAATGCCATGTAATAATCTTTTTATCACATATACAGCCAATGAAATAGGAATGAGAAAAATAGAATAAACAATTGACACATGATTGAATAAAGAATATGTATTTATTTCAGTTGATTGCTTTTAATTTGTGTTTGTTCATTCTTTTTGATTATTTTTCTTGTTTGCATTTTATAACGATTCAATAATGCCTCAATAATTCCAGTAACCATATCTGGTATTCTCTGACAATCAACAAAGATGTAAGAAGCAACGTCATCATAATATAGGTAGTCACTTCAATAATAAAGAAGAGTTTATTTTTTTGAATGCTGCTCTGTTCAAACAGTTTCGGCACGGTTACTTTATAATCAAATAAGTCAGACTCTCAAAGATTGTGCATGACTCTCCAAACCGGGAGAGGGCGGATATGGATTTTTCATGTAAGGGCCAATATGGCTCTCCCATTGAGATTGCATGGAAAGCCCATATTGGCCCCGGTTATTTGCCAACGTTAGCAATACGACTTGGGCAAATCAGCATTTGTTACATATGTAAAACCCAATGTAATTATAACAAATATGTGATAAAGTAGCATATTTTTTGGCAAATTGGTCACACCTTGTCACTTCAGGTAAATAATGTTATTAATGTTATTAAGGGGATGACCATTAGCATTTAGGGTGGAGTGGCAGGAGAATTTTTCGTGGATGGGAGATTAATTTCTATCTATTGCTAGTCGAAAAAATCATTTTCACTTTTTGACTTACTTATTGCGAGAGAAAGGGTCAGAAAATTCAAGCAAGATTATTTTTTTTCGATCCTCTCAGTGAAAATGAGATATGGTCAGATCATATATGTTCATTTGTAATTTTCATTTGATGATAGTCCAATGTCCGGACTTTATTTCAATAAAAATTACTTACTTACTTACTTACTTACTTATGTTTTCGTACGTCATATAAATTCGTACTATGCTTTCTTTTTCAATGGAAATTGTGACGTCACAATGCGTTCTTAATAGCACGAAAACCGAAAAATATGAAGATACACACTAAAAAAATGTTTGGGGTTCCTAAAGAAATTTAGCAAAGAATAAAAACAATTTGTCCTTTTTAATCAAACACAAATTTATTACTCCTATGCTACTTCTGAATACACACTATATCATTTCCATTTTTCCATAACACAGAGAAATCAAATATGACCTAAAAAATGACCCCCAAAAGAACCCCTTTTTGGTCAAGATAAATTAACCAGTTGGATTATGCAAATTTACTTTCATCATTGATTAAATATACACACAAATTACTTATCATGTAATTAAATGTCCCTTTTCCTATTTCTGTTATTATTCCTTAACTTTTTCCTTAAAGTTATTTTATTTGTCATTTGTTGAATAATCATATCCAAAACATTGACAACAAAACAAATTCTTACTCCAATCCAAGTCCTCTCAAATGTTGAGCGATTAATCTAACAATGTCTTGGTCAGTTTGAGACATGGGGTTTGTATGTGAAGGATTGTCGTTATGTTCTCCGTTTGATACTGTCAGACAAGCTCCGTTTTGTTGAGATGTCGATGCAGGTTCACCACTTGTTCCATTGTGTTGTGGACAGCCGTTCGACTGCATATTCTCAGCAATTCGCTGTTTTTTACGCGGTGGGGGCGACAATCCACCGTTTTCAGAGTCTGACGAGGATGCCAGTATTGTCTTTTAACCTATCTGTTCCTCGCAGAACCATATAGACTGTCAAAAATACCATAAATTTACTAAGAATTAGAGCACCCAGTTCCTTTCTATTCCTAAGATTGTTTTGCTTCGTGACGTCACATTTTGAGGATGACGGGAAGAGAAAATATATTTGTACCCCGCGAAAATTTAAAGCAGTGCTCGTGTTACTTTTGTGAAAAATGTAAATTTATAACTAATCTGCACCGACAGTATTGAAAATGTATCCAAAAGTTAAAAGAAAAGAAAAACAATAGGAGGACTTCGAGCGTAAAAAGATTATATAAGTCCGAGCTTAAGGTTTCAAGTGACAAAATACAAATTTCTTATTGGCTTGTATACTGAACTTAAAAAAAATATCCATTTTTAAAAATACTAATTGTCCTCCACTCGACGTGTCTGTCCGTCCGGTCTTGTAAGCGCTCTAATGGGTACAATTCTTGCCAGATTTTTATATAATTTAGTGTATCAAACTTTATATCAGCAGAGACATATAATACATTAATGTATTGATATGTCTCCGATATCAGATAAGTTCTGAAATTAGTACCGGTCATCTATTTCTAAAAGTGTTATGCCCTTGGAAATTTTGATTGTATGACATAAAAATTGCACTATAAGCGCTAACAAGCCTACATTTCTTGAAAGATTGTTATGATATTTATATCGAAGATTTATATCAGCGATGTCCGGGACAAGTTCGAAAAATCAGCCCTGATCAATTATTTTTTCAGGGTTTATATCCCTTAGAAATGTAAATTTTATTAAAAAAAAAATGCGTTGTAAGCGCTCTCACATGTACAATTCTTGCCAGATAGTTTTGAAATTCATATCGAAGGTATAGCATTGGCATAAAAAGTGGTATTCGTTTTCAACACACTGCATATTACAACATTTGTATAAACGCTACTTGTTGATTTGTTCTCGCCCTGAACATGAATGAAATATTTGCCACTGGACGTTAAGCAACCAACAATCATTCAATCAATTCCCTAGCCATGTCAGCATAAAATTAAGAATGGAAATGGGGATTTGTCAAAGAGACAACAACCCGACCAAAGAGCAGACAACAGCCGAAGGCCACCAATGGGTCTTCAACGCAGCGAGAAAATCCCGCACCCGGAGGTGGTCCTCAGCTGGCCCCTAAATAAAATTGTGTACTAGTTCAGTGAAAATGGACGTCACACTAAACTCCAAAACATATAAATGAACTAAAATTAAAAAACATACAAGACTAACAAAGGCCAGAGGCTCCTGACTTGGGACAGGCGCAAAAATGCAGCGGGGTTAAACATGTTTTGTGAGATCTCAACCCTCCCCCATACCTCTAGCCAATGTAGAATAAAGAAACTAAACAAAATGACAATGATACATAAATGAACAAAGGACTATTAGCAGTTACTGACATGCCAGCTCCAGACCTCAATTAAACTGATTGAAAGATTATGTCTTCATCATATGAAAATCAAGTACAATCCCTCTCGTTAGGGGTTTAGTATCATACCACCATAAAATATACGAGAAGAACATAACCCGTATCATGCCAACAACTGGTTTTAGAATAAATGTGTTTATTTCCGATGCAAAGACCCTATGAGTGAATCAATATTAATACCAAAATATGCAATCCTGAATGACTTGACAACAGTATCGTAACTATATTCTTTCCGAATAAGTCTGTTCAAAGGTTTTGTTAGCTTTTGAGGTGGATGCCGACATTTTTGTGCTTTGTATAGAATATTACCATAAAATATTGGATGTGAAATACCTGAACGTATAAGATGTCTGCATGTTGATTTATATTTACGAATGATGTCCTTGTACCGATGATAAAATTTAGTAAATGTTTTGACTAGTTTGTGATATCGAAAACCCTGGTGTAATAATTTTTCAGTAATACAGAGATTTCTTTCGTTGAAATCAAATACGTTGTTACATACACGAGCGAATCGAACAAGTTGAGATATATAAACACCATAAGATGGCGACAAGGGAACGTCTACTCACCATCTAAAATGGATAATTAACAATAGGAAATGAAAAATCATCTCTTTTATCATAAATTTTGGTATTAAGCTTCCCGTTAAAGATAAAGATATCACGATCCAGGAAAGGGCAGTGTTCATTGTTTGTATTAGCTTTATTTAAAGTCAGTTCGGCAGGATAAATCTCTTTAGTGTACATACTGAAGTCGTCATTATTGAGAGCCAATATATCATCTAAATATCTAAAAGTGTTATTAAATTTTTGAATCAGATGTTGTTTCGATGGGTCTTTGCTGATTTTAGTCATAAATTGTAACTCATAACAATACAGAAACAGGTCCGCAATAAGTGGTGCACAGTTAGTCCCCATGGGAATTCCGATAACCTGACGATATAAGGAATCTCCATAACGAACAAAAATGTTATCTAGTAAAAATTCAAGGGCAGTTATAGTATCAAAGCAGGTCCAATTGACATAGTTCTTTTGTTTGTTGTTACTAAAAAATGACCTAAAAGAGTTTGAACATATATATTCGCATTCCGACTTTTTAAATGCCCATTTAATCAGGTGTGTGAATTTTTTCTTAATAAGATTATGAGGCAACGTGGTATATAGGGTTGAAAAATCAAAACTTTGAACAGATTCGAAATCACCAATATAAGCATGCAATTTATCAAGTACTTCCAACGAATTTTTGACACTCCAAAAGTAATTAGTTCCACTATTTTCAAAGGCCTTATTTGAACAATTTATTACCAGGTTTTTGATTGTACCAAGTGTACTAGTAAGTAGAATGGATAGTTTAGTAGTGGAACAATGGCTTGAAGACGAAATAAATCTATATTTGTAAGGAGTTTTGTGCAGCTTCTGAAGCCAGTACATAGTTGGAACTTTCATTGTATTTGGTTCTGCTTGTAAAGAGGTAGCTAAAAGTTTATGTTTGTTACAGATGACATTTTCCGAAAATGGAGTCAGTTGGAATGTTGGTGAATTCGTGATTTCTTTTTGTAGAACATCAATGTAAAATTTACGTCAAACAATAATGATATTGTTAGCAGCCTTATCAGCTGGGACAAAAATATATTCCTTGGCGAGTTCTTTTAGCTTATGTTTGATACGGGAAATTGGGCTATTATGGTTGTTGTTAGGAGTAAAATGATCTTTAAAATGTTGAATACGTATATCAACTACGCTCATTACCGAATTAAAAAAAAAAGAATCTAATGATTTCTTGTCAGCTTTTTCTCGTTTTATCCATCGTCTTTCTGTTTAAATGTTAACAGAAAACCATGTCACTACACAATTGAGATAGAAACGATGCCAAGGCCAGATGAAACCTGCCAGACGGAAATGTACACTTTAAAATCATACACAAAATATAGTTGTCATATTGCTTACAATATCTCAGATAGGGACTTGACCACGAACACTTAAATTATAACCTTGATCACTAATCTATGAAATGAGGTCAAGTTTTGGTGAACCCTGTCTGACGGACATATAGACCCTGCAATCAGTCACAATAAGTGAGAAATTCACATGACAAAGAAAAGCAATACAGATTCAATTAAGCAGTCACTGAACCATGAAAATGAGGTCAAGGACAATGGACAGACGACAGACGGAAACTTCTTAACATAAGTCATCTGTGAGGCATGATGCATCCAGGTCTTATGATCTTCCGCAATGTGAAGTTTTACACAAAAAGTTAGTGTCGTCACCGTAAATGATAAGAATCCCAATGTCTCGCATCAAAAATCAGTCCTGGATTAGTACTAAACCCTATAATAACGGTACTATATTGATAACAAAAGCGTTAACATAAAATTATACTTTCATATTTTTTATCATTAGTACAGATTTTTGTCATCGTTTCTTTTAAAACATTAAACTTGATAAATCTGTGGTCATTTATCTTCGAGACAATATTTACTTAAACTGTTCCATTAAATACCTTTGAGACACTGAAAAATAATTGACTGTTGAATACTACTTGAAGTGTCAAGTCCCTCCATGTAAAAGCCATGCTTTTTCTTATGGTCCCGACAATACTCGAAAGCTAGTTAGTAGCAACTAAGACCTGTTGAAAACGGAGATGAGAAATTGTTCCTGTGACCTATTGGAGGGGGTGAAGCAAGTGGAACACCATCACCTATAGTATTTATACATTTGTAAATTAGTCTTACTTTTGATATAGAACTGGAATCATAGGATTGATGCCGATGTGGTCGTTAGTAAGACGATGATACATTGAGGATATATTACAGTCACTGAGTCAAAATAACCGAAAGCATCCTCCAAAATCTTAATATTGGCAAGCTTGCAGAACTCATATAGATGTCTCAATTTCATTATGAGTCGTTGGTTTATTCTCTCATTGATGTATACCCTACATTTCCCTTTATACATATACACACCAGTAACTAACATAGAAATAGCTATCCTAGTAAAGTTTCAGGGTAACCGTATCAATAAAAGAAATGTGAGAAATACTTCGAAGATACAGAAATCTAACGACAGAAAAAAACAACCAACAGGAGACATTTTGAGGTACGAATAAGGGTTTCACATGAACAATAAAAAGGTGTCTAATACATCAAAATCGCCAAGTGTCTGGAAAAAGTTATGAATTCAAACAGATAATATGAATATTACATATATATACATTTATATATATATATATATTATATATATATATATATATATATATATTATATATATATATATATATATATATATATATATAGATTCTTACATTGATACCAGTGGATTATCGGATTTATCCAATCGAGATAGTTAAATTATCAATTTTAAAGTCTGAGCCTTGGCGAGGACTTTAAAATTTATAATTTAACTATCGAGATTGGATAAATCCGATAATTCATGAGTAACTATGTAAGAATCTGTTTCTCTAATGATTAAAAAATATATTTTCATTTTTTGTTAAACCAAAACCCCCTTCGAGTGCCTCCCACATTTCACAAAGTTGTCAATTTCATTAACATCTGTTAGCATATTTTGAGCTGATAAAGGTTATGACCCTTAAATTCATCCAATCATCTTCTGAGATCACCGGCAACCACACGTTGATTAAATTTTTTTT